GTCAGGAACCGATCCTCTACGGTCGACTCTCCAGTCGACCTAGGATTTTCATGTTGCCCCTTGGGGGCAACAGATTTCTTTCTTCTAAGATGCTGCCCGCTAGGCATGCATCCATGTCCCGGTCCACTCGACTTATTCGAGTGGTGGACCTTCGGCGCAGCCTGTACTTCTGTACAGCCGCCGGGAGCTTGCTCCACAGTGTAGTGATCAACTACACTGTGACCTTGTGCAGTCGTGCTAACGACCGTACCGCAAGTGAGGCCATCGCACTAACTCGCAGAACATCCACACGCTTGTGGACGCTCCAAGATGTTCATCAGATGGCCATCTGATGAACAAGCAGCAGGCATCTTCACGGATCGATGCTGCCAGCTCACCCTTGGCTCGTACTTTCTGAGCCAAGGTAATCCCAGGATGACATCAAATTTGTCATCCAGATCTAGTACGATGAAATCATCATCGTACTGCTCGCCCTCTAACGTGTAGTGGATTCCTACTAAACGTTTCTCAACGGTTATCGATGCGCCTGTTGCAAGGCGCACCGTCATCCTTGTGAGGGGAATGTCGCGCTCAACGAACTTGAGCCTACGACCCTCTAGTGACTGGCGACGAACAAAGTTGTTCGACGCCCCACAGTCTACTAGGGCACGAAGCGACAAGTCATTTGTCGCTTCCAACTTCAAGGTGATGAGCGAAACGTCATCACCAGGTGCAGAGACACACAATGATTGTGTATCTGGAGCAACTTTCGTCAAGACGTTTGCAAATTCTCTTGAGGTTGCTGGATCAGTAGGGCGCTCCGCCCCTACTGACCCCGACCATTTTTTGATGGCCCGTCTCGCTGTTGCGGCTTCGCAACAGCGCTGGACCCACGCCCATTGCCCTTTCTGGCGAATGGTCGTCCATTTCGCTCAGTACTGTTTGGTACTGGGCGCGGAGCACTACACTCGTATGCGTAGTGCCCTAACTTCTGACAGCGATTGCGCCTCTGCAATCGCTTGTTGCTTGTAGAGCGAGGTCTCTCGCTCTCAACATAACAGAGGTCCATTGGTTCTGGACCTCCGATCTCTTGTCGTCTCGGTGGACGGTAAGAGTTTGAGCTAGCATGAGCCTGTCTCATGCTAAAGTCTTCCTGTTCCGCGGCTGATATCGCTTCTTCAAGCGTATTCAGCTCAAGGCGGAACAGGTGGCTCCTGACGGGCCCTTCTGCGAGCCCTTGCATGAACACCGTAATTAACGTGTGTTCATGAACTGGGTTTGCAGTTATACTACTCGCAAGGAGTCGTATATGTTGTGCGTAAGCGTGCACATCACGCTTACCCTGCTTGAGTTTCAGGAGCTCTGAACGGGCCCTGAACTCAGCACGTGGCGGCTCAAACGTTTGTCTGAGCCGGGACTTGAAGTCATCTAGCGACCTAAACACATTTGGGTCGCTACTCTCGAGTCCCAGGGACCAAGTTTTGGCACGCCCTGCCAAGTGGGTCTGAGCAAATGTGAGTTTCATTTGCTCATCTTCGACGCGACGAGCCCTTAGGGCTCTGTCGAGTTCGACAAACCATAGTAACAGGGAGTCCTCCAGGACTCCACTGTACTTGGAGATGTCGACTTTCATCACTTCGGGACGACGCGCATGCGCCTTCCCGCCCACAGCAGCATGGAATTGCTGCTGTCTCAACAGCTCCGTCTGTTGAGCACCGAGTTCTCTCAACTGCTCGGCCTGTTGAGAGCCTTGCTGGTGAAGCAAGGCTACTTTCTCCCTCTCGAGAGCAAGTTCATTGTGAATGAACTTGGCGATAGCAGCATGTTGTTGGTCTCTGTCTAGAGACTCCAACATGGTGCTGACGACGAGTTCGCCTACGGTAGAACTCATTCGTTCTACCGCACCCCATTCGATGTCACTCAAATGGGTAAACCCTTCACGCGTGGCGTGAAAGATGTCTTCTTCATCCAACATGTTCATGTTGGATGATGTGGTCCTTGGAAGGACTACAAAGTGCTACCAGGTGTAACGGGGCACACCCTTGCGTAACTTAACGCAAGGGATTTGGGTGCCCCGACGGACGTACACGTGGCGAGCGAGGAAGCGTAGGTAGGGTAAAAGTAGAACTGTTATATTAATATAATTAAGTCTTTAAACTACTGTCTCTTCGTTTGACTTAATTCAATTATACTAATATAACTGCATGTATGGTGACGTCTCGTCACCACTCATTGCGCGCGTCTTGCGGCGATTGGTGGGTTGATATCATCACGATATCAACCAATGAACAGACCCTTTGGTCGACCCTTCAATATCACCACTTTGGTGATATTGTTTAAAGAATATCCATCTTATATTCTTTATTGTCACTTTCCTTAAAGTGACAATATCATGTAACGGGCTGCCCCGTTACAGTCTGCGTCGAGGCTAACCTAATGCACACTTGTTGACTGCATATTCCTCGCAAGTCTTGTGTGTGACAGAACAATGGGGTTTCTATCTCATGATAATTTGCCGAAACCAATGAGTCAACATTAGCCTCTTCATTACCAGAATGATCAATACCCGCTAAGTCTTACGAACCTATCTGCTTCGTACTTGTCGACTCAAGGTCGTGGGATCTAACAACGACATGCGAACATTTTTGGTGTGCTAAAGTGCGGAGCGATCGACTATCTAAGCCATTGGATCCATCATTCGAGACAAGCGCACCACATTTATGGAATACTCTACATGAGGTCATCATCAAGTCTTAATCCTTCCGATAAATTCATGTTCAGCCTGGATGATGCAGGCCGTCGAAGCTCGAAAGGCTCAGGTCGCAAGGGTTCGTCAAGAATTGCCTTGGGGGTAAGGTGGTACGTGGTGGACACTACTCGCTCCCGTACTACTTATACTACTGTCGATTGAAGCGCCACTATACATCAGATAAAATGACCGCGATTCTACCTGTGGACCTTACACCACACCCGCTGGTATGCATAAACGTGTGAGCTGCTAAAGAATACCCGTAAAAGCAACAGGAAGCATTCAAGCTGCGGCAAACTTTCGGAAGAAGCGTATGCGGATATACCTGAGAGGAAGCCACAATCGCAGTTAACTGTATAGATGCAAGCGAAATGTAATTATGAAGTAGTATAGCAACCTGCAGACTTCGTCGGTGAGTGTTGTCATTGTTACGTGTAAGATGTACTCACAAATGCTTTTGCATCTACTGTAGGGAATCAGCACACGACTAGCAGACAAGTGATTGGCAAAGGAATTGCAGATCAGCGGAATCTGGAGGACACATTTCATATTAGGACCTCTTCTGCATTTGCTCAAGTACACCCCAGTCGTCTACGATCGACACTGCGTGCATCTAGGATTACCGTGTCAATGTCCTCGGGCAACAATTACTAGCTTTCACACTGAACGCTGCCGTATAAGCAAGGCCCATGACTAATCCGCTCGACCCACTTGAGTGGCGGGCCCGTTTTACATCTTGTTGTTTACGCAAGTCAACAGCTCTCTTCACAGTGTGACTATTAGCCACACTGACTTCTTGAGTAGTCGTGTTGGTGACCATACCACAAGTGAGTCCGTCGAGCACGCACATTGTACATTTACATTCTTGTAGAGGGACCAAGAAGCTCATGAGGTGGATATCTAATGAGCGAGTAGAAGACACTTACGACCTGACGTACTTGGCTGACCCCTTAGCTCATACAGTATGATCCGTGGAAGGTACAGGATGGCACCATATGTTTTGAGTCTTGATCAGCAGGATATCATCATGGTCACGTCTTTTCCTTCGATCGTGAAGTGGATATCCACTGCATGTTTCATCATTGTAGCCGACATGCTGTTGCATGGCGAAACATCACCATGACCGCATCGTTGTCACGCTTATAGATCTTGAGCTCACGATACTCTAGCAAATGGCGACGAGCAAATTTTCTCGATGCTTCGAATCGACCATGGCTTGCAGTGACATGTTCGCATCACTACTTTCCTTGAAATGATTCAGGATGCACCATCATTTGGATCATCAACACAACAGGGACTGTGCGTCGAGGGCAATAGTCTTCGATGACGTGCAACGTTTCGGTTGCTGACGTTACTGATCAATAAGGCACCCCAACGCCATTGACTCTGTTTGTGCTCGACGGTCAGCTACACTGACGCAGGTTGTCAATAACGTCCGAGCCACAGCTATGGTCGCTCGTGGAAGCCGAACGGTCGTCTCAATCCGTTTGGATGGACACGGGGCGTAGAACACAACGCTCGTAAGTGTAAAGGTTTTCTCCATATTTAGCAAGTGTTACCGTGAAACAGTTTGTGTTCCTCAATGGAACGTCTCGTTAGATCTTTGTTTGCGACGATGTACGTACGCAGGACGTTGCGCAGCGTTTCGGACTTCGTTCGTGACCCCAGAGGTTTTCGCTGGCGATACATACACCGCCAACGAGGAAGTCACTGCCTACAGTAGTGCTGCAGATGTACGACTGATTATCGCGGCGGTCACTTGTGCTCAGTGACATCCCGAGGGTCACCTGCAGAACGTAGCTACTGGTCTTGAGCGACATTGCCAGTTGCGTATATTTCGCGCAGACTTCGTGACTAAAGGGTTACATACAGTATCGGAGTGAAGCAACGCATGCTGTACAGTAGACGTCTGCTGCAGATCAGTGCACTGTCCGGTCGGACAAGTTTCTGTCCATCTTGCTGCGCGTCCACAGTCGTCTACCGTTGACTCCTCGAGCTCCTTCCGTCGTACAACTCGCTCTCGATATTGTCTTCGTTTCTGCACTTTTGCATCGCACACCTTGCGTTGCACATAAACCTGTCAGTAGAAACGATGACGGCATACCAGCGCCCCGTCAATCTACCGATATGCCGACGCTCCATCCGACCGTTCCAGCGCCTATCCTGTCTCCTGCTCCTTACCACAGCACCACAACCCCACCACTATCCTGACCACCCGACCGACCTCCGCCACCACCGCCACACCCACTCGTACCGTACCCCGAGCAGCCGCATGTCCTTCTTCGGCTTCGGCAAGAGCAGCAAAGGCCCCGAGCCGCCCGCCGCTTCGTCCGACGCGTACGCGTACGAAGAGCCCTCGTACGACTACAGCGCGCCGTCCGTACCGTCGTCGTTCGACTCGTCGTCGCTCGGCAGCAGCAGCAGCGCGGCCTCTTCCAGCGCCGCCGAGATGCAGCAGGTCATCCTGGAGGAGCAGCAGCGCGTGCTGATCCAGCAGGCGATCGCGAAGATCACTGCTCTGGCCTGGGACAAGTGCAGCGCCAGCAAACCCGACGCGGAGCTCTCGTACAAGGAGAAGGACTGCATCAAGAACGTCACGCGCGCGTACCTCGACACGAGTATGTTTGTGGTCCACCGCCTCAACAAGTCGGGCAGTGCCTGAGCCACGTGCTGAGCCCCCCGCAGTCGTTACCACGAGGAGACAGTGGCGTTCGGACACCCTCAGCGACGTCGGGGCTCTGGAGACAGCATTGATGCAGTACAACGTCGAGTCGATTCTCCTTCTTCTTCTTCTTCTTCTTCTTCTTCGTGTGGTTGTTCCCCTCTCCTGCTTCTCTTTTGACCTGCCTCACTCTCACGTCTGTGTGTCTCTCTCTCTTAGCTCTCGTGCTCGTCGATCGCGCTCTCGTCGGGTCCACGAGCTCTACGGCTGCGGTACACGAACAGCGGCACGTTCCTGTACGGTCCCGCGTCGTAGCGCTCGTCCGGCACGAGGCCCCGGATGCCCCACGTGTTGCAGATGACCCGCACGTCCTTGTCCGACGAGTGCAAGAGCGCGATCAACTTGGCCGAGAGCTGCTCCAGTGCCTCTGGCAAGAGGTACGTGACAACAACAGTGGCGTCGGACAGGTCTTCGACCAGCAGGTCGCCGTGCGCGACGCTCACGAGCTGCTGCACGTTGTGGGCGGCAATGTGGCGCTGGAACCGCTCGACGAGGAACGCTTCAATCTCGACGCCCCGTGCACGCGCCCCGAAGCGCGTGGCCGCTTCAATGCAGATCCGCCCGTCCCCGCAGCCCAAGTCGAAGAGCACCTGCAGCAGCAACAGCAGGAACAACAGCACAGCGTGAGTGACCTCGTCGGACAATGGACTCGTTCGCCTAAACGCACGTCGTCGGGGGTCAAGTGCGCGAGCTCAACGATCTTCGACACGACGTCGCGGTCGCTCTGACACGGCGGGGCCAGCGAGTCGCCTTCGATCCACATGAACGCGCCTGGCGTCGGCTCTTCGTCGTCGCTCGAGTGGGTTGTAGCCATTGGAATGACTGGACGCGACACGCTCAATGACAGAATGGGGTGTGGGGCCCCTCTGCCTGACACAGTGCAGAGAGCTCAGGAGTCGACGCGCAGCGAGCAGCTCACGGATCGATCGGTGGACGGTACGGCCTCTGGTCTACTCTCTATTACGCTCTGCACATGCGACTAGACCTCGCTAGCTCTTGAACCGACGATGCCACGACAAGCGCTCCTCGTCGTCATCCGGCACGTCGCAACTGCTGTCACTGATCCGTTGGTTCTCGTCTGCACTCGCTTCAGCTCGTCGAGTCTCCTCCTCGGCTGCTTCACTGCTTCCTTCCATGTCTCCGCTTGCATCGAACAAAGTGCTACTGTGCACCTGGTGAATCAGCGCTTGGATCGCCATCGCTTCCTCCCCACGTCCCAAGTGCTTGTACGCTTCCAGCACCGTCGTGAGCATGAAACGGCGCGTCAGAACTCGTCGATGCTCGCCGTCCAACGCCGAGAAGTCCTCGAAAAGCATGACAACTTCTTCGTAGCGATGAAGGCGCAGGTTGGCCGCCATCCCCACCTCGGTCACTGCAATGCCCAAAGGAATGTGTTTGTTCAGACGCAACGCTCGCACCATGTCGGACACGCGCTCGAGATCGCCGATCAGACCTAGACGGTAATAGTAGACCACGACCTGCTCCAATGCTGCGTACTTGATCGGCATGCCACTGTCCAGCGCGTACACGAACAAGTCGTCCACGACGTCGGCACGATCAGCGCGAACGCCAGCAACGACCGCTTCACATAGGACAAACGCATTCCACTCCAACGAATGCGAGTACCGCGAGAAGAAGTGCTGTAGGTCGTTCGCGCACTCCACTTGGAATTGAACGTGCTCGCGCAATTGGTCGTCGTCGTTGCCCCCGTCGACGTCCAGTGGCACTGGGTCAATCAGTAGCGCGCGCAGCAACGGGTAGACGGCATGATGGCTGGCGGGAATCTTGTGCGCGTTCATGATATCCAAGATCTCACATGCAATGGCCAGGCACTCGTTGCGAGTGTCGGCCGTCGCGAGCGCAACTCTCTTCCGCAGCAGATACTTTGACACACGCTCTTTTAGATCGCGACTTGCTTGTGACGATGCCATCACGTTGCGGTACATCTCCATCAGCATTGCATCTTCGCCCAAATGGTGCAGCTGCTGCAAGCAGATCCTGAAACGGAACTCCGTGAAGATCGACATGGACATATCGGGCGGGTGGCTATAGAACTTCATTGCCCGCTTGCTTGCGCCACAAGCTGCTGCAGTCATCATTATCATTGGCAAGAGCGACAGCGGCACAATCTCACCAGGGAGTTTCGTGACGATATCCTCGCAGATCTGCATCACTTTCTCAAAGTCGGTGAATCGCTCGTCATGCAGCAACGCATTCAGCACGTGAAAGTACGACACTTTCGTCACATGAATACCGTGGCGCTCCATCGTGTCTAGCAGTTGCAGCACTAGGGCAGCCTCGCGCAAGTGGCCGAGAGCCACAAGTATGGATTGAGCCAGCCGCGGAGTGAGCAGCTGCACGTCTTTTGCGCTACATTGACGATCGTTTTGAGTCCGATACAAGCTGGAGAACTTGTCCACAACGTCCTGGAACCGCTGGTCGTAGTTGAGCGCCAAGGCGTAGTGTTCACAAATGACAGACCAGTGCTTGCGTTGCCCTGCAAACTGCGGGAACTCTTGCTCGTACACAAACGCCACTGCTTCCACTTGAGCGAAGTCGCGTCGCTGTCGCATGGCGTACAGCATGCGATCCAACTTGCCCGTCGCGGCTTTCAGCTGCCGCCTTGCTCGCTGGAACCCCGTCTCGCGCGCCACTGCAAAGCGGGGGTCTGCCAACTCCCTCGCCAGCTTTTGCAAACTTGCTCTAGCTCTGTCCACGTCTTGTGGAGCCGGACAGCCGCTCGTACCAATGAGCGAGAGAAACTCACCCGCCTCTGCGTCCGCCTGCAGCTCGACCAGCGCTTCACCACTCAGCCGCTCGTGCACGTGCTCCCTCCCTCGTCTCCGCTCACCATCAGGAGCGCGTGAATTGACGGCGTCCAATTGCCGCTGCAGGTGCGGCGTAAGCTTCTGGGACACGTCTGGACAAAGAGATCTTCCGCCAATGACCTGCGGCTTCATCTTCACGTCTACACGTCGCTGTTGTTCCTCTTCGTCATTGGCGTCGTCTTCTGCTCCTGCACACGCAGCAGTCGCACGAGTCTGCACCGGACGCGACAGCCGACGGGCCGTCGCTAGCGAGCGCAGCCACGACGACCGACGACGCCCGAGCTCCGCCAGCATGAGTGGCAAGCAGCTTCGTGTGCTGGACGCTCTGGACTGTGTACGCCACACAAGAGACCGCGTCCATGTACCGGCGCGTCGGTGAATAACTCGGTATACCGGAGCTGCAAAGTGCGTCAACAAAATCTCGTCACGCGGTCGCGCGTCTCGGGGTTCGGGTGTCGGCAGCCCACCCACCGCGTCGTTTTGAACAAAAAGCACAAGATACAGAACGCAGATACGACCCACCTACCGCTTTTTTCGACTGCATCGAGAAAGCTGGTGGACACTACGACCAGGTCATGCTGCCATCGAGATCGCGCAGCTTAGCGCTGCTGCGACGGACGCTGCGACGCCCGCCCGCTGCCCCTCTCACGCCTATCTGCTCTATCGATAGTCTCAAAACACGCAGCTACCGATGGACGCACCGCCGCGTGTCTTCTATGCCCCTCGACGGTCCATTGAAGCCGAAGAACACGCCGTCGTTTGCGATTGCCGCGGCGTTTGAAGGCCACGAAGATCTGGAGGACGACGAGGACTCTGATCACTTGTACGGACATACGAAGGACCACGACGAGGCCAAGAAAGAGGGTGCACGGTCGCTCAAAGAGCAGCTGCAGCGCGGTATGGAGAAGAAGAAGCTCTGGATGCAGTCGCTCGCCGCGCAGGAGCTCTACGCAGCTCTCGTGAAGAGCGTGGCAGACTGCTATGCGCCATTGTACGCGGCTATGGGACTCGAAGGGAAGTGTCCGCTTGTGGCGGTGGCCACGGACCAAGCCAAGGGCGCACACGAGCTCGAGACGGAGTTTCAGCCGCAGCGTTTCGACGAGATGCTGACCAAAGCCACCGAGCAAGAGGCGCTGGCGCTGCTGGTCATTGACAAGCAGTCGTTGCTGGCACTGGCGATTGTCGAGCATCGGAACAAGCTCGCGGAAGAACTGTCGAGACGTGCGAAGGCAGGCACTGGCGTTGTGCTGCCGGGGACGAACGTCATGGAGGAAGGGAACGCGGTGACGCTCGGCAGTCATTTCCGCATGTTTTACTCGTGGGCAATGAGTGCCTACGCTTTGTGTGGCCGGGACTGCCACCCGCAGCTGTTCGACATGTACGAACGGGCACAGAGTGCTGGCTTGTACGTCTCGGCCAACATGAACGTCCAGTATATATCTGCGCTGATTGCCGAGAGACGCTTTGACGAAGTGTTTGAGTTCTACGAGTCAGTGCTTCGCGAGGGTCAGCCTACGTCGATGTTCTTTTACAGGAACGTGCTGTTTGCCGTGTCTGTGACGCACAGAGTCGAGCTGCTGGATTCCATTCTCGAAGACATGCGCGTCAAGGGTTTCAAACTGCGTGCCGAGGACTACTTGCGCGGCATTCGAACGTACGACAACGAGTACTTCCTTACGAGGGTGCAACCAGACGATAAGCGCCGGTCGGATCGACGCAGTCGCAGTGATCGCGAGACGAAAAACCGCGAATCTGCGTTCACGACACCTCGAGATACGTACCACATGTGCGTGCAACGGATTCGCGAGCAGGAAGAACACCCAGAACGGTTCGAGAAGATTGTCGACGCTGCACAGAGCGTGCTGACTCTATTCGATACGATGGTGGACGTCGATGGACTTGCTCCACGAAATGAGCACTTTTTCCCGCGCGTGATTACAGCAGCCGTGTATGCTCAGGAATGCGAGCGCGTTCCAGACCTTTTGGCCCTGCACGCTGATCATGTCGACAAGCCTCTCCATTATGCCGGTGTTCGCATGGCCGTGAACGCACTTTTGCTGCTGGAAAAGCCCGCTGCAGCGTGGGATCTCGTTCGCGAGACGAATCCAGTTCTCGAGCCTCATCGTTATGCGTTACTGGGCAACATTTTCAGCTACCACTGCATGAAGAAGCGCGGCGCAGACATTATCCAGCTGATGCACCATACAGAAGAGATGGGGCTGCAAGGCGTGTTCACGCTGTCGTTGGTCAAGAGCTTAGTGCCCGCGCTTTGTTCGAGCGTCGATAGCGTCAGTGACGAGGTCCTGATGGAGACCGCGACGCGCTTTGACAATGTCTTCCACCTACGCACCAGTGAGCACCATTTCGGTGTCTTCCTTCGTGAATGCTGCCACAGTAAGCGTCTTGTTGTGGTGAAAGCTGCTCTCAAGCAGTGGCTGGCCACCTCCGAGAACAAAGTACCGCTCAAGGGCACTCTGGCTTCCAAGCTCTTGCAAACGTTCGAGAGCGAGTCGGACTGGGCCTTCATGGCCGAAGTGTTTGAGCTGACGGACTTCTCGCACGTGAACAGCGAAGACAACCGCAAGGCCATTGTGAGCGCTGTCTCACGTGCCTACGAAGCTCTCGGCGAGCCTGAACGTGTCGAGCGCGCTGAGCGCATTTCTCTAGTCGCAGGTAAGCGGCAAAAAGCGGTGCAACCACAAGCGTCAACAAGACAGCAGCAGAAGACCCGCGGCAAGCGTCCAGGCAGATCGGCAGCTGCTTCGAGTAGCGCAAAGCCGATGCTGATCAACGGCGTTCCTGTCCTCTCGTCTTCCTCGTAGTCAGTTTCGCGAGCAGCACCGACCAGAAGCGCAGACTCAATCGCAAGATGTCGCGTGGTGGATACACACAGTCGTCCGACGCGATCAAACGGAAGAGGCTCGACAAAGTGACGGCCATCGGGACGGTGGTGGCGGAGCCTGATCCAGCACGAGCTCGCTACAACAAACGGGGGTAGAAGAGTCGACGACCGTCCGAGTGATAGCTGTATGTCGGTCATGAAACCTGAGACGCTCAGGCTATTGGGCGAACGGACGTGTGTGCTGCCTCACAGACTGTAGCAGGCCATTGAACACGTGCAGTTGGACTGAAGAGCTGCATCGGTACCCGTTTCGCCAGCAGACGACCTGACTTGGCACATGTGACGGACGTACTTAGGAAGCGCAAACTATCCGCAAGCCGAGTGTCGAACACAAAAGATACCTCTGTGTATCTATGAGAACGAGCACACACTCAGAACGTCTTCGTGGTTATGGCAGGGACCAACGAGGGATAGGGCACGGACAGTGTGCGTGCAGAAACGCGCTGCAGATGGCAAAAGTCCCGTCTCTTGTCCACGCCCACGTCGGTCCTGTCGAGCAACGTAGCGTCCCATCTGATTCCGCCAGCAACTCGTTCTCGTTGCACGCGTCACTTCCCAGGAGGCTGATGCTGGTCACATGTCGCAGGTTGCAGTTCAACGCAGCGGCCCGTGCAGAAAACAGCCACAGGTAACCACCGACTTGTTCTCCAGAAGACACGACCTGACGCCACCGCTCTCACTCGCGCCGTACAAAGACGCTGCGTCAACGACCACCCGATTGGACCGGAGCTCCTGACCAGAGAGCGCTGCAACGTTGCAAAGCACAAACTGACCCCTTCGCACTCGACTCCCATCTGATCGCTCTCTCGCTCTCTCTCTGCTCTCGTTGTCGCCGTCAAGCAGTCATTCGAGCTTCGACATGCGCGTACCCTTCCGCCTCCTGTGCTTCCTGGCTGCGGCCTTCGCGACGTGCGTGTCAGCCGACGCCATGGACGACGGGACCCCACTTATGAGTGAAGCGCCTCCCGTGACCCCGTCAACTGACGGTACGGGCGTCTCGAACGCCACGAGCGACGCGCCCCGCGCCGAAGAGGACTTTGACATTGAGCCGCAGCCGACGCGCGCCCCGACACAGAAGGCCCCGACACAGGAGGCCCCGACACTGCCGCCCAGCGTTGCGCCTGTGAAGCGCAACCCCATCGCTGACCCTACCGCAAGTGACCGTCCAGCGGAAGTCACGAGCACTGCGTCTGCGGTGGCCCCGACGGCCGCTGCGGTGGTCCTATCGGCCGTCGTCTACCTCATGCTCTAAGCGGCATCCACTCGGTCTCCGGCGTCGGTAGACGAAGGCCTCGTCCTGCACGTCCGTGGGACGACCATTTATATGTACGACGACGATATCGATATTGACGTCGTCGTCGTACAGAAGAGACGACTGGTGCGTGCGACTTGTAGCCACAAAGCTCCGTTGCGTAATCAATACACAATTCTTCTCGTCCCGCTACACGACGTTCGTGCTGCGATTCGATCGATCGATCGATCGATCGATCGTTCATTGATGGCGCTCCTTGGTCCACGTACAGCAGTCGTACAACCTGCGCCTGCGACCAAACGACTGTGACTACCCGCAAGTCATTCGACGATCGTCCGCTTTTCTCGTCGCTTTCGTGCGTACAGCTCCTGCGGTGGTCACCACCTGTCGACAATCGAAATGTAGCCAACTCGCTTGTCACCGACCGTCCCCCGCGTCAATTTCACTCGGTACACTGTACCACGCGCGTCGTCGTCCCCGCCCGCCCTCGACCACCCGCGCGATGCTCCGCCCCCGAGCGGCGCGGCGGCCCCTGTGGTGCGCGCCCCCGCAGCGACAGCTCTGGAGCTACGCGACGGACCTCTTGACGTGGATAGGGCTCAGCCGCCCCGACGCGTCCGACCGCAGTCGGGCGAGCGTCAACAGCCCACCGCCACCACCGCCGTCGCCGCCTTTGTCTGCCTCTCGTCTGGCCCACAAGCGCGTGCTGAGGCCGCAGCCGCCCGTAGACGCGACGTTCCCGACGTTCCAACGGCCGCTGGACCCGCTCAAGCGCAAAGGAGCGACCGCTGCGCTCGGCCACTTTTTGCAGCGCGTCAAACAGGCGCCAACAGCCGCCCAGTTGCTCGAGACGTGGCAGACTGTCGCGCAGTGTCGGCCGTTCTGGCTGCCGCGCCAGCCGACAGGGCGTCTCGACGTGCGACTGGCGGCTGCGCACGACGTGGGCGTCGAGGACCGGCCGTGGATGTTGCAGCTCGTGCCGACCGACGTGTTTCTCGAGCTCTCTGCAGGCACTTTGGCGCGCTCGATGGTCGTAGGGACCGCAGGAGCGGACCTGAACGCTGCGGACGTGGTCGTGGCCAACGAGACGCTCGTCGTAGGCAACCTGGTCCAAGCTTTCCACGACCTGCACGAGCACGAGCTCGTGGTGGCGTTCTTTGACGCTTACGACAGCGATCGGCGCGTCTGGTTGCAGGAGCACTCTCGTCGTGCAGCTGCCGACGGGGTACGTGATGATGGAACGAATGGGAGCGATGACGACGACGACGTCAAGGTGCAAGTGATAGAAAAGAGAGGCTCAATGGAGGAAGTCACGCAGCTGCCGCACGTCGTGTATTCGTGCTATCTTCGCTCTCTGGCTACTCTGAAGCAGTCGAAGAAGATTGTGCAGCTTCTCGAGACTGACGAGCGCCAGCTGGAGCGGCTCTGCAGCACACTGCCCAACTTGCATCTGATTCTCCACGCGTGCCACAGCGAAAAGAACGGCGAGCTGGCGCGACGGGCGATTGACACGATATCGGCATTCTCTCCTGCTGCTGCCATATCGCTGGGTTGCTACGAACTTGCTATTCGAGCCAACTTGCGTGATCGCAAACGTGGTGAGCGGGAGTTGCTGTCGGCGATTCACCTCTCGCGAGCGCTGCTGAACGATGCTGGCTACATTCTCAAACCTGACATTTGGGCCGGGCTCATCAAGGTGAGCATGTGTATGCATCGACCGGATCTTGCGCTCGAAGTGTTCAAAACGTATCCGCGCCACTGCATACCTGAGTATCAAGACAGCTTCCGTCAGGTGCTGCTGTCAGCCTGTCGCTACTTGGATTCGACGGCGCTCGAAATGATGCATTTCTGCTGGACCAGCCACGAGGCCAAAACGTGCGCACGTGAGGAGCAAACAGTGCACGAAGACGGTCTTTGTCTGGATGATGATCTGGATGGTAGAGGCTCGTCGACGGGAACTGCGGTGCAAGCAGCAAAGAACGCTGCAGCGAACAAAGAGGCCGAAACGGTGCTGCTCAACGCTATATTTTGGCAAATGCTCAACCAACGCCATGCCGTGTCGTCCCTTGTTCAGGTTGTCGACATCATGGAAGCCACTCGCTCGAAAGCTGGTGCCATGGCGTTGGAGAGAGCTGTGTTGCGCATGCTCACGCACGACATGAGCGAAAAGAACATGTCGCCCCGTGCTGCCATCGAGAGCTCACTGAAGTTCTGGGCCGCGCGTTCTTCCGTGCTATGTGGTCAGGGGTTTCTCGTGCGCCTGCTGCTCAAGGAGTGTGTAAAGCACGAGTGGACTGACGAGTGCGAGATGCTATTGGATCATGTGTTGGACGTTAGCGTCGCTCGCGTGCCGATCCATTCGATCATCAAGTTGATGGAAACGAACGAATCACGCGGGCGCTTTGACGTCAACGCTCGCATCGGGGACAAGCTCCTGCAAGGGCTGTCACCGAGTAACCGGCAGAAGCTCCGCGACGACTTTTACGAGCGCTACCTGATGAGCTGCCTTCGTCTGGAACAATTTGACAAGGTGGGCAAAGTGCACGTCACGTATAATCTTGAGCGGCGGTACCCTTTCAACGACGCCATCCGGACGATTGCTCAGGATGCAGCCGCGCAGTGTGTATGATGAGCACGAAGCGAAGAGTCGTTGAAGGCAGGAAAGAGCGCTCACTAGCAGGTGGCGCACACGCAGACGTCTGAAGCAGCGATTACAATAGAATTTACATAATATGGCCCGTGGAACACGCACCGACGGGGCAGTATTTCTCGGCAGTGGGTCTCCTGCACTGCCCCTCGCGTGCCATTCTTTCCAGATAGATAGTTGTGATGCTGAAGTGCGGCCCTCGACACCAATCGACTGGTCCAATGAAGTAGTGAAGTAACCCGCAAGGGATGCGACTCCGTGGCCCCCTTTGGTGAAGTCGCCCTCACCACTCCTCGCTGTGCGCTTGCTCCAGCGACATGCAAATGAGTACCATAAGTGCCATGTCAACTCCGCCCATCACAGCGAGAAAGTAGTGGTCGTTCAGGTGGCCGTTTGACACGGACGAGCTGCGGGTGGCCGTAGCGGAGCCGGGACTGCCAATGTAGCGGAAGACGCGGCCAATGGTCGTGCGCGAGCCCTTGCGCCCTTGGTCCATCCAGATCGACGCCTGGCGCTTGGCCCAATTGCCCGAGAGGCCGATGCGGCACTTTTGGCCCGACGTGGGGTGCTGAAAGTCGACGCGCAGCTCGGGCAGTGCTTTGATCGTAAACAGGTGGGCAGCAGCTGATCCTTTGGCGTCAAAGACGTTGTGCGTGGGAACAGGGGCCGTGAGCTCGCGCTTCATGTGCACCAGTGGATGGCCCAGCGAGTCCCGCAGTGTCTTCATGTGCGACGTCGTACCTCGAAGGCGAAAGAGCTCTTGGCCCCACTCGGCGTCAGAGACCACAAAGTCCTCACCCGCGGGTGGGTCCCAGAAGCGGTTGCGCAAGCGAAGTGTCGTTAGAACTGGAGCACAGGAGTCCGCGCCCACCAGTGCGAACTGATGGGCGTCCGGGAGGTTGGGAAGCGCAGAGGAAGAGGCGCAGCCCATTGTTGTGGATGGGTACTACGGGTCAGAAGGAGAGGAGGAAGAAGAAGGAGAGGAGGAAGAGGAGGAGAGGAAGCGGTTGAAGAAGAGGAGGAGACCACTTGACGGACGGACGGACCGACTGGCGAAGAAGAGCTCTGTACAGTGCAGTGGAAATTGGTGAATGGTCGAGTGGCAGACTGCCGTATCTCTTGACTATCACACTCGACGGGTCTGACTGAACAAAGTCGAACGGTGGACAGCGGCAAATGGTTTGAAATGGCCCGCGGGCTGTGCAACGCGCTACACGGCGCCGTCGTGTCCTTTTGCGCGGAGCTGCAAATTGGCCACGACGGGCCATCGATCGGTCGGTGCTTTTCGTTCCATGGCGTTCCAACTCTCTCTCTCTTTCTCTCTTTCTCTCTCTCTCTCTCTCTCTCTCTCTCTCTCTCTCTCTCTCTCTCTCTCTCTCTCTCTCTCTCTCTCTCTCTCTCTCTCTCTCTCTCTCTCTCTCTCTCTCTCTCTCTCTCTTCCTCTCTCTCTCTCTCTCTCTCTCTCTCTCTCTCTCTCTCTCTTTCGTGCTTCAACAACAACAACAATTGCTATCCCAATTACTATCCCCACTGCTTCGCGGCACCCAAACCGCTGGACTGCTGCTCGAGCCTCAAGCGAACAGTGTTCGGCGTGAGTCCCACGCTGCATGTGGATTTTCCACATGTCGCGTCCTGTCGTGAACACAAAGACGTTCGCGCTCTCGTTCAGTCTGTTGCACAGGAGGGACAGTGACGTGCACGAAGTGGTTGCAGCTGGTTACGAAGGACCCTGCAATGTCTTTGCTGTTGACGTGCACGTCCATGATCTGTCCGTCAGTCTGTATGTGCGCTGCAATGCACTGCACTGCAATTGCATTCAGAGGCGACGTGGTGAAAAGTTGATGCGTGTGGCAGTAGTCAGCTGCAGGTGCAGGAGCAGAAGTAGACCATCGTGTATGTATGCGGTATCGATGGACATCTCTATGCTCGACAAGAGCTCTCGACGGCTACTGCTGCGTCTGAATACGTTCGCAGCGCTTGTCCAGCAGTCCGATGCACGTGAGGATGAGCATCATTCGGTCGACGCCGGCCGACACGTCCAGCAGCACCGTCGGCTCGTCTTTGGTCGTGGCGTTCTCGACCGCGAACGTGAGCCGAGCAATGGTCTGCCGGGCGTCGGCCGACCCGCTGTTGCCGCGACTGAGCCAGACACTGATCGCGCTGCGCTCGTCGTCGCTGGACCCGTCGCAGCCCATTGTGCACGACTGCCCGCTCACCAGGTCCGTGAACTCGGACCGCATGGTCGTGCAACCCGTGACGGTGAACGTGAACGAACACGGCGTCTCCTCGTGCTCGGTCCGCATGTAGGCCGAGTACGTCGTCGCGCGGCCGAAGAGGCCCCGCCGCAGCGTCGCGATGGGCAGCTCGTTGCGTGCGTCCAGCAGCGTGCGCTCGCGGTGCAGCGAGTACGTTTTCGACTGGACCAAGACGAGCGTCTCGCGGCTCGAGACGTCTGTGGCGGCGTGTGCAGTGATGCAGAGTCGAGTCGGCTTCGAGACCACGTGACTGACGTCGAACGCCGCGACAAAGTGGCGCAGCGCGACGAGCGTCTGGACTTGGGCAGCAACTGCGTCCATTGCTTTGACTCGTGGGGGTGGGTCGAAGGCGGTCCTTACTGCGACGACGACGGACGCAGCCGAAGAAGGAGTCGGCAGACGGAGTCGGTAGACGGAAGCGTGAACCCACGCACAGCCTTTGCACCTGATCACTCACGCGCCTTCTTCCGAACTCACTCGGTCGTGCATCGGTGGCGCAGGTGCATTGGGTTGCGTCTATACCTGTCTTGCAGCACGTCCCATCATCACTCGCGGTGCTCGCTCTCTGACCCGATGGCTTCTCGGACGGTGTCGCACACGTGAAGCAGATCACCTGCAAACGGGTGCGAAGGCGTCGTGGGACCTACTGGTCCGAAGTAGTGCTCTCGTAACGTCGAGCGAGCGAGCGACATGGTATCGACAGTATTTATCGAGAAGCCGCGTGTCAGGTTTGCAGACAGCACGCGCTGGTTGCGAATAGAGCTGTTCATCGCGCAGCGCACCTCGAACGGTCTTCAGCGCGATAGACCGCTGAGCGGTGACGGCGGTCGCTACCTAAGCACGTGTGGAGGGAACCGGAGCAGCGTACTACTGGAAAAACACTTCACACTGTGAGCCCACGTCGCTCACAGTGTAAGGTGAGGACCGCCATGATCCAGTGAGGAACGATGCCGTGTCAACCTGTGCACCTGCTTCGACTCTCCTACGAGCGCTTACGTCCCGACTCTACGGCTCCATTGTTGTTGCTGGACTCTTTGCAGCAGTCGACCGCGCAGTAGACAGGCAATGTGTCCGCTGCAAGTGATACGTTTACACACAAGCGCTCCTGGTCCAACTGGGCGCATGCAGCAGAGGTCAGACGTCGAAGGTGGCAGTTTGTTGCCACTTGGCATGGACTTTGATGGGCCATCTTCGCCCGGAACATGTACCTCTGGCACCTGATCCACTCACTGGACAGCGTCACGCGTCTTCTTTTCTGCATCGGGCCGAGATTCGCACTCGACGAACAGACCAAAGGCCCATAGGCCGACGGAAACGTTGTCGTGGCTTCCATCTCGCTGAGACGATGTGCGCAGCGGACAGGACGTGCGTGACGGTCGCCACGACGCGAACACAGAACAGCAGCAGCATCTTTATGCCTCCAGTCAATATGTATGTGCAGCTGCACGTTCGACACTCTGACCACTGCGGTGCAGGACGTCAGTCCGATCCATCCGCAAAGTCGTAACGACCGCTGGGAAAAAGAGCGAACGCCATCCGACTGCCTGACCTGATCCGCCGTGCAAATGGAGTGTGCTCTTGTCCCCACGTGAGCGTTTGCGGCCGCGACGCGATGCCGCAACCACTCACTTTCTTTTGCGCGCGACTTACGCCGACGGCCTCATCTGTCTCTTGCCCATCTCAAGAGCACTCGGCAGTGGTAATGCGTTCCCTGGCTCAGTACATACATACGCCCGTACGTACGTACGTGTGTGTGGGTACCACAAGACGCGTGTAGTCGAGTCCCACCACAAGTTCCATGCGCTTCGTCGCACATGATATTGTTGACAGCTTCCACGCCGCCAACGTCGTGACTTCCCGATCCGTTCGTCTCACTCAAGTCCATCGTCGTCGTATGTCTCCGCCCTCTTCTCGTTAGTAGCAGCCATTGATTGCCCCTGCGCTCAGCTTTTCCGTTGGTACGCAGCAGCTCGCAACCGCAAACCGCTACAATATCCGCTGGCGGCATCGCCGCTTGAATCAACAATTGCAGCAAAGAGCTCCCCCCAACCACCTGGCGAGACAGACGTCCACCATCAACAACACCTTTGTGAAAAAAAGGCAAGTAGCTCCTCACCTCTCAAGCCATTCACCGATCAACGTCGTTGGCCCCACTGCTCGCTCTCTTCACTGCGTCGACTTCCGCCGTCGCTTGTCACCGCTTGCCGTGGACCATGGCGGACTATGCTGCACTCAAGACGCCGGTCGTCGCGGACACGGGCAGTCCACGGTCCCCGTCGTCGATGCATGACCAGGCCACAAACACGCCTCCTTCTCGGTCCCTGAGCGTGCACGTCGTTCGCTTCTTGATCGTGCTGAGCATTGCTGCCTTTGTGTTTGGGAACATTGCCACGTGGGCGCCGCTGTACGAGCTCCAGCTGGTCAACACGATGAAAGACTGGTGGAACGGGTACCCCGACATGCCCGACATGAGCAGCCACAGCCACGCGATTCTGGACACGGGCATTGGACGGAACCTCACCGAGACGGGCCACACGGAGATGATCCGCCCGACGTTCCTCCTGCTCTTCTGCATTGGTCCGTTCCTTGCCAGTGTCCTTCTGATCGAGTTGCTGCGCCACCTCAATACGGCTCGACGCCTCACGTCGACGCTCATCTGGCGCGTGGCAATGCTCTTGCGCCGCAAACCACAGCTCCCAATGCTCGGCGTCTCTCGGTTCTCCCTGGGCGAGTGGATCGTTGGCGTCGTCTACGTGCTCGGCGGCAACGGTCTCTGCTGGTACTTCCAGTGGGACCGCCGCATTGACATGGCCACCGAAGCCGGCACGTTGGACACGACCAAGTACTGGAACATCGTCGGCATCAGCTCGTCGTACCTGTGCATCTACAACATGTCGTTCCTGCTGCTACCCGTCACGCGGAACTGCGGCTGGATGGAGTTCTGCAACGTCTCGTACACGAACGGCGTCAAGTTCCACCGCTGGACCGGGTTCATGACGGTTCTCACGGCGGTCGTGCACATGGCAGGCTACTGGGGCAGCTGGGTCCGAAAGGGCCAGTGGCAGGTCAACCAACTGCCGTGCACGCGCTGCGACTTCACGCTCGACAACTCTGGCGGGGGCTACTACGCCTGGTTCAACGTCTTTGGCTTCGTGTCGACGCTCGCGCTCGTGCTCATGATCCCGACGTCGTTCCCCATCATCCGCCGCAAAGCGTACGAGTGGTTCTACATCTCGCACTGGGTGCTCTTCGTCGTCGCCGTGTTCTTCGCTATCCTGCATTGGGCTCAGATCCTCTGGTGGATCCTGCCGTCCGGGTGCGTGTGGTTCGTGAGCCGAACGGTGTCCAGCTCGAACGCCCTGACGCCCGTCACCGTCGCCGAGTTCGCAGTCCTTGGCGAGGCCGACGACGAGCTGGTCAAGATCGTGCTGAAGCGTGCTGCCCCCGGGACGTCCCCGTGCTCGCCGTCGTACGACTACAAAGTCGGCAACTTTGTCTACTTGAACGTCCCGCCGATCTCCAAGCTCCAGTGGCACGCGTTCACGATCGCGTCGTCGCCCAAGACGAGCGTCACGGACGTCGTGTTGCTGGTCAAGCCGCTGGGCGACTGGTCACAGGACCTGGTGCAGTACGCGGCCGAGTGCCACCGCGACCACACCTCACCGCTCGTGTACATGGACGGCTTCTACGGCGCGTCGCTCGAGCTGTACGAAGACTACTCCGCCGTGTGCTTAGTGGCCGGCGGCATCGGGGTCACGCCCGTGTTGGCCGTGCTGGACGACCTCGTCGCGAAGCTGTCGCGCAACGGCGTCGCGTGGACTCAGCGCTTTACGTTCATCTTCACGTTCCGCGAGCTGAGTGTGCTCCAGACGGTCGCGCCCGTGCTCGCCAAGCTGCGGCAGCTCGACCCGCACGAGCAGTTCTTCCGGTCGCACTTGTTCGCCACGGGCACCTACTCGGATGTGAGCCTCACTCGGCACCTAGAGGTCCTGCCCCGGGACGAATCGCTGGATGCAGCGGCAGCAAAGACTATGGGCCGAGCTGCGCGTCCGTTCTACGAGCCTTTGCGCTCGAGCAACGGGCTGCGCTTTGTCCTGTTCCTCGTGCTGTACGTCGTGGCCATTGCGGTCGTGTTCACCGTGCGATGGGGCAATGGGATCATCCAGGGAGACGACCGCTTTGAGCTGTGGCCGCTCGAGCGCGCGTTTCAGCTGCTGATGTTCTGCCTCACGATCGTCGTCGTCTACGCCTTCGTAGGCTACGAGTACAAGAAGTTCGGCGGCGGCTGCAGCCGTATGAACGCCGTGACCGGGTCAGCCGTCGTGCCGATGACGTCCGCAAGGTATCCGCTAGCGGTCGACGCGTTCGGAGGCGACGTCCACTCGGTCCGTGACCTCCTCGGCCACTTGAACGTCACAATGGGCGAGCGGCCGCAGCTGCAGTCACTCTTGCAGCAGACCCTCGCGATCCACTCGATGGACGACAGCTCAGCGAGTGTACTGCCTGTCGTCGGTGTCATTGTATCCGGTCCCGAGTCGCTGAAGGTCGCCACGAACGACGCCGTTGTCGCTCTCGGACGCCGCCACTTCGACGTGCACGAAGAAGAGTTTGAGCTCTGAGCGCTGAGCGCTCTGTCGGTCCATCCGTCCGTCCGTCCGTCGGCTTCGTTTGGACGCGTGACACTGCCGTCGACAGCGCGGAGAGGAACAGGTGGATGGAGTGACCGGTCGGTCAGTCGGATTGACCGCTGCAACTGCAGCTGCGGCGCGCAGATAGACAGTCTCCTGGCTAAGCTGTAGCATACGTTTCGATGATACCTCCCACCGATCACTTTGGATCCCGTCACTTCAAGATCAGTTGGTCGTGTGTCTCTCTGGACGTCTCTACGTCTGTACGTCTGTGTGTGTGCAGCTATGTCGACTGCCCTTCGCTCGCGCTTCGTTCGCAGTGCAGGCGCTGATGCGACAGAAAGCAGTGACAGTCACGTACGGGACGCAGCGCGTGACAACGTGGACGACCGGTACCCATTAGGCGGTCACGTTCGTCCGGAGCTTATGCCACGCGGCGATCCGATGCCTTTGAATGACCGTCCGGTGCGGTGTTCGCGACCGTTGCAGCGAGACGGTGTTGCACCTCTTTGTTCCGGTACAGGCCGTCGGTCCACTGGATCTCGTGCAGATGCAGCGCGAGAAGAGCCGACGGACGACCGGAGCCGTCGACCGACACCGTCGGCCACGACGAAACGTGCGGAGAAGATGTGGTACAACGACTCGGACGAAGAAGAGGTCGAGGAGAAGGAGCTCGTGGCCAAGTTGGCCGCGGCACGGAAGCACATGGTGGCGATCCGTGCGGTGCCGAGCGACGTGGACCCGAAACGAAGCGGTGTGGAACGGCCCGAGGTGCAGTGTGCCTCGAGGCCTTCGCCAACGACACTACAGGCCGTGTCGCCCCTTCCAATGGTCGGCACGGACGCAGCAGTGGACCGTCGAGCTGCGAACGTTCGTGTCGCCAGCAGAGCAGCCACTGCTGCAAAGTCAGCGCGCGACACGTTGCCAACATCGACGCCGTCGCCGTCGACTGTGTCCGCCAGCGGCACTGCCACTGACGCAGTGCAGTCGACAAAAGTGCAGACTGGTGGCTTTGGGAACGCGCCGACCATTGTCATCAACCGGCGCACGGACCGCCTGAAGCACTCTGCGAGTGGGTCCGAGTACAGCGGATCGCCTCGGGTCGGAGGTGGCAGCCCCGAGGAGGTGCTCAGTCCTGGGCCACGCAAAGCCCCTGGCGCGTTTCCCGGGCGACCGGGTACTGGTGTCCTGCTGGAGGGGTGGCTCCGTCTGAAGCAGCGCCGTGGTGTCAAGGGCCTCAAGAAATGGGACGCGCGCTACTTTGTCCTTCACGCGCGATCCAATGAGGTGCGCTACTACGCGGACGTCGTGCAGTCGGCCTGGGGAACGATTCCACTGGGGGAGCTCGGATCGATCTCCCTGCGGCTCATCCAGCGCATCGGGAAGCTCAGCCATCCCCGGTACAAAGGCTGCCACTTTGACATCACGTGCCGCCGCAACACGTGGGGCACACACTGTGCCGACGACGACATATCTTCCGACGACGAGGACCCGAGTGGCAACACCAACGTGACCAGCGAAGCCGCAGGAGTCGCACCTTCAAGGCAGGAAAAAGGTGGCAGTACCCCGCGCTCGACTCGAGTGTACAGCCTGGTCGCTGACTCGCCACAAGTTACAGTTGCGTGGGTAAACATGCTGGACTCGCTGCTGACGCGCAGTGCCAACAGCCCACGACCGGAGACGAGTGCGCCAGTCGAGACTTCTAGCGCAGCCTCAGTCGCGAACGTCGGTGCTCGGGGCAAAAAGCCTGTCGTACGACCACAAGATGGTGCTCTCGATCCAGAGCTGTCGGTGCTGTTGGGTCCTGGAGAAAGCGTCCCCAGGGCCACCGTCTACGCCATGAACTTCATCTTTGACTCGACGCCAGGCATCGAGACGCCCAAGTTCTACGAAGCCGCACCTGACGCTACGAAGCTGAAGGTGAGTGGATGTGTGCTTCATCACCTGATACTCTCTCTCCTCATCCGCTAACGAGCTTGTTGTGTGCTCGTCCAGGCTGCCTTGAAGTTCCTCAACGGGTTTGCTGGCCAACACGTGAGTCGCAAACCGACCAAAGCCGAGTTGGAGGAACTGCTGGACGCAGTGACTGCTGGTGCCGTCATCAAACGGTGGCTACAGCAGCTGCAGCAGCCTCTGGTTCCGTGCGCACTGTACGACGACTACCGAGCACTTGCGCAGACCACGTCAGTGGATCGACGTCCAAAGCTCTGTGCACTGCTCGAAGCCCTTCCCAAGAAAAACCTGTACGTGCTGCTTCCGAGGCCCTGCCAACCTGTTGCACAGACGACTAACAACGAGCACTGTCACATGTCCTCTCTCTCTCTCTCTTGTGCACAATAGTACCATGTTGGCGTGTCTGCTCTTCCACCTGAACGACGTGAACGTGTACGCGTCGAAGAACGGAATGGACGCAACGCGACTCGCGCACGACTTTACTGCATTTATCCTGCGACCCTCCACGCGATCGTCGTCGTCGTCGCCCTGCAGTAGTGACAAGTCAAGAGACGACGCTACGGCCGCAGCGATGCAACACCTCGTGGCAGAAATGATCATTAACGTCGACACGTTCATGGACGAGAAAGAAGCCCAAGTGCTCGAGGACAACCGACTGTAACGAGCGACAAGAGAGCCGCACGTGCACGTAAGGACAAGGAATTGCCCCTAGTGGTGCACCTTCATGTAGACCACGTGTTTGCCCGGCACGAGCGTCATGCCGAGCGAGCGGCTGTTCGACGGCAGCACTGCCCCACGAAAGCGCATCTCTTCCTCCTGATCGCGCGCTTCGGCTTCTGCAGACCGCGCGGCCTTCTGCTTCCCCGTTTTTCCCCTCCCCGCGCGCGCTGTCGGCGCAAACTCGCGCGCGTCCTTGAGCACGACGTTCTGGTGCTTGTCAAAGCAGTGGAAGCGGCCGACAATGACGCGGCCGTCCGAGATGCGCAGGCGCACGAACGCGCCCAGCAGCTTCATGAGCTCGAGCGTCGGCGCGCCCACGGACGTCGGCGGGTCGCTGTGCTGCGTCTCGTTGACGGTACCGTCTTTGGCGATCCGTAGTGTCACTTGCGGATGCCCATTGAGCGACAGAACTGCCGGCGTCTTGGCCAGGAACCCCATCATTCTTGCTTATGTTTGGGTTTTGGGTTTTACGTTTGGGTTTTATGTTTCGGTTTTGGGTTTGGGTTTTGGGGTTTGGGTCTTTTTTCGTACAAAGTAATAGTGGCTCGAAAAGACTGGTGCTCGTCGCTGGGGGTTTGTATGGCTTTTTGCCTCGAGAGTCGCTCGTTGGTGATGCAGCGAGCGCCCAGAAGACGGCAGCGAGTGGACAAAAGAAGACAGTTGACGGTATCGGGGGTACGGACTACTGCAGCGAGAGCTGCCTGGAAGACGATCGGAGATTGTTGGTGTGCAGAGCTTCGCCGCTGTCTACTTGACGAGTTGGATTCGGCTCAATGATACTGGCTGCGGTACTTGTCAAGCCGCTGGTGTCCGCTTGTAGGAATCCATTTTCGCATATCCTACAGCTGCAGATGCATCAGCATCGATAACAAATGAGCTTGGTAGAGCTCAAGTGATCAGTGATCAAGCCTACTACCAGCAAGTATGTTGTGGATTCCGTTCCAATTCGGACAGTCCGACTCACGTCGATGGAAGCATCGGCCCCTCAGCAAATGATCGCTCTCTACGGCAGGTCTTTCACCGCGTGGCCAACGGTTATCGACTCCTGAGATAACGCACATCTTTGCGTGGCCACCACCAGTTACTAAAAGACCGGCTCCCTCGTTGTTTGTCGACGTGCTAAGTGTAGACAACAAGCAACCGCGAGACTGAAGCTACTAGACCTTGGAATGCCACGTGACGAGGTTTGTTTATACACTGCGCCGACAAGGGCTGTCTAGACTTACTATGCCTCATCCTTTCGATATAAACTATGGTTGTTGCCCTTGCCCATTGTGAAGAGGACCACGTCCGTCAAGAATTGTGTCAAGAGCCGCAATGCAGTGGGCAAGGTCACGTATACCTTCTTAGCTCGCTCTGCCGGGCCGTTTGCTATAACATACCATATTCAAAGAGCGCGCGACTTTTTCATGAGCTACAGGGGTTAGTATCGACGTTCGTCATTCGACAGTTTACTAGCAGAGATGCATACGGAATAGACTGCAGACGCTCGGCGAAAGCAGATTCGATTGCTCTGATCGTTTGTTACGCACCTCGCATTATGCAGAGCGGATCGTCTTTACCACGAAGACCGCTCGTCCACTTGACAAGTCGTTCTTCTCTGTCACTCGACCATAGAAGAGAAATCCAAACAACGATGGAAGAAAACACAAAAGCAGTAAAAGACAAACGATAGTGGTGATGGAATACAACAGAAGAGGAAGAAAACAAACAACAAAGAAATAGTACTTGATGTCGATGTGCTTGGCGCGGCCATGGTTCACCGGATTCTTCGTCATCTTGATGCGCGACTGGTTGTCTTCACGGATGATGAGGTCCGGTCCTGACTCGTTTGCGACCGCCAAATCTCGCATAGCAGGCGATGGATCCACTTGCCTTCCTGGATAGCCAGACTCAGTGCGATATACCCCGCTTCACTCGTCGACAGCGACACAGTCGACTGCTTCTTGCTTCCCCAACTCACAGGAGCACCCATCAGCACGAAAGTGTAACCCGAAGTCGACTTACGATCAGCATGGTCGCCGACCCACTCCGCGTCCGAGTAGCCACGAAAGTCAATCTTGCCGCTTGGCTGGAAGCGGAGTCCGTGCGACTTGGTCCCTTGCAAGTAATGAACGATGCGCTAACATCAAAACGATCGATATTGTAAAACACATGTTGATGCAATCGTGAGTGCACATGACGATGCTGGACAAAAGATGACCCATTTGGCATTGTTATACTCTTCACGACCTACTCTGTTCGATAATTTTTTTATTCGACCCTCATCTAGTGTAAAGCGTTCTTTGTAGATGTGGACGTTGTTCTGTTTGAAGTGTTCGAAGCAGCAAGCCCTGACGGCGACGCTGCTAGTGATTGTGCGAAAGGTGCCTGACGAACATTTCGCACTGCTGTGCGTCGAGTCGACTGCGCGACTTTTGTTTCGGGGTCACGACCACGCGCGGACAAGTGTAAGAGACTCATAGGCATTCCAGGGCGACAAGCACAACTGATCCAATGCTTAACACTTGAAAGCAAAGAAAGTGTCGCACGCTTTTCATCACAACACTAGCATCCACAAACGCTAGCAGCATCGGTACCAACACCGCCATGAGTATGCTAAATTGTAGATAGTAAATTGTCTGTGAATACGCCAGCGTTTGCACAGATTACACCAATGCAGATATGACGTCGTATGATACCTCTATACTAGGCACTCTACCGCTATCGTCTCTTTGAGATCGAACGACGAGTGCGATAGTATAGATATGAGAGCCCAGCGCGGCGAATATAGATTTTTGGTGAAAAAACGGAATTTCAAGGACATGTCATTTGCGCTGTGGTCGATGTTATCAACTAAAGAGCACTACAAGCGCATACGTGCATACGTATGCCTGAATTCAGGTATCACTCCTGCAGAAACCATTGATCACCTATACGATTCTGCAAATTCATCCTGCATGCCTTCCGATTCTGCAAATTCATCCTGCATGCCCTCCGATTCTACAATCTTGAACATTCGCCGTTTACTGCGAATAGATACAGCAGGTCAACTGCAAGGTAGATAGATAGATGCCTACAACGTTAAAGCTGTAGTAGACCGCGCACGTACAATAAATACATATAGGACTGTAACTTTCTACTTCCATCAATCGATTTCTTGTCGCTTCGTCAAACTACTAGACACTGCTCATTCAAAAGCCGTCAACTTCAAGCATTTGAAAGGGGCACGTGAACATCCAAAACTTGATTAGATGTGACACTGAATCACTTGTATCAAGGAACGAGCCCGGAGCTTGCTTTTTTGCTTCATGTAGACGTTTGCGCTGACTTGGTCCGCTATCGAAGCGTTCCCGGGATACTTATACCTGGTAACGCTTCAATAGCGGACCAAGCTTGTCAGTCAAGCTTATCAGCTTTTTGTTGGTAAAAGCACGAAATAAAGATAGCTTGATCTGTACAGAGACTAGCATGTCGCAGTCGAAACATGCATGCAAATCTCGCAGCATCGGCAAATCTATAAATGCACACAGGGCTCAACGGAAAGAATTCCATTTGATGGGGATCGCTTGTTTCGATTTTTATGACTGTACGCGCTTGGATACGTCGGCACCTGTGGCAGGGTCGAAAGCCCAATCATCGCAGCCAAAAAAGGTGGCGTCCTGACAATGCAACGCGCTTCAACGTTTCGAAGTGGCCAGCTCACACAGAGTAAAAAATAAAAATAAAAAATTGGATTCACACGAAATGTAACTCAATTTACACAAGACACCATCTTTTTATGACGGGATCCTGATATACCATTTGCTTTTTACGGATTCTAATATACCATCTGTTTGTATCACGAAGCCGAATGTGACCGTAGAGGTGAACATGAGATCTGACAGATGTCAGAGTGGAATTTACATGTTTACTAAACTGCTCGTTGACTTGAAATCAGCATATATATGTATTGACTTTGCCTACAGGTTCTTCGCCGCTCGACATTCCACTGACCGGCTGGTGTGGTGTAATTGGATGGGTGCACAATAGCAACGAGCAGCTGAGGTCGTCAGAAGGAAATGGAGTACGCGGTCGCCGGATGGACGGCACTTGTCACTAAGATGCCACAAGCCTTGGTATGGGGCTACGTGATCAAATGCACGGCACGGGCCGCATGCACAACTAGTAGCCGCGTGGAGATTGTCCAAAACGATACCCTCGCACCTCCTTGGAATACGCGCAGAAGATGGATCCAAGTGCAGGGCATATTTGCTCCTACGCCGACGTCACAGAGGCATGAATGGTGATGAAACATCCGCGCGAATTGATCGACCGTACGAACAAAGCAGTGAAAATAGGAACAATCCAAAAGTCGAAGATGCGACCTATATTCTGGACTTGCTGGAATCAGACATGTAATAGACTAGTGCAATTCTGTGAAGCACGCAGCGTGCTTCTTCAACACTCCAGGTGCCGTATACACAAGCCGACCAGTTCCAGCGCAATCGTTGTCTGTCCGACGTGAGTTGTAATCACAGCGTATCAGCTCAAAAAATCGCTCTGTGGCCTTGACCTGCCTTGTCTTACAGTTTCTGCTTCCTTTGGTTCGGGCTTCATTGTAGCACGCTACCTCCACAAAAAGGCATTCCCACGTCGAAAGAAGATTTCTTTGTCGTACTGCAGTCAAGCATCGACAAGCACCTGTTTGGTACGGGCCCGCTACACCATTTCGTCATGTGAAGAGTGACAGATCGACTGCTTCACTTGTACTTGAGTTACCACTGACGTCACGGAAAAAAGCACATCCTCAATCTTCGCCAGCTCAAGGAACTATCGTACATAGAACGATGTCAGACGAGAGCTAGACTTGCACTGGACCGCGATAAACTCCCAAGTACTGTTCCGCTGCAGCTTGGATCAGCTCGACTTGACCCGCGATAGCGTAGACCATTGCATTCATGCGATAGACCTATGTCTATCGCAAGCTGAGAAACCCCCGAATCTTTGCTACCCTGACGACCGACCAAATGTCAAGACAGCCACATATTACAACTACCGTCCTGTATCGGCGGCAAACCACAATGCAATTGATGCCGCTTGGCAATCGCTTACTCTCTCTAGCAGTGTGTGGCGTTTGCCGTTGATGCTCGCATATTTCTACCCAGATTAAGCTACAGACGGACTTGAGCTGGACTCAAGGAAGAGGCTGGACATACCAATTAAGCCAGTCAATCGTGGCATCAGGAGCCAAGAACGTCCTACTACAAGTGTGTGATGTATCAGCCACCAGCCTCAGCCTTTTGACCCGTAGTCAATTGCTGTCGTTTGCTGACGAAACGACAAAGGGAAATCAGCGGAATCAGCGAATGGATCGACGTTTTGCCATCGAGTACACACGTATCGAAAGACTCGGCTGGCCGCCGGTGTGCCATTGATAGCGCCATTAAGTAACATGAATCCAGTCTGGTGCTGGAACAGCAAGAAGTGTCGACTTACGCCCTTCTCAGATTCATTAAGGTATGCTATTATCGCTACTCCTCCTACTACTACTACTACTACAACCACCACCACTACTACTACTTCTACTACTACAACAATCACTACTGTAACTACTACTGGACTACTTCTGGCTGTGGTGCGATGCTATTTCTCTTGGCCAATCATCTCGTCTCGCGCCGTGAACGGATCGCGCATTGGTCAAAAAGGCGCCTCCCGACCCGATTTACGCAGCATTTTGCAGCAGTGCAGCTCCGCAACGCGTAAGTCCGATCGCTAGTGGCTGTCGCTCGTGCGCAGAAGGAGCGCGCGGTCGTGAGCTCATAGCCGAACGACTGTGACTGTGAGACGAGACAAAGCTGCGGTCGATCCGTGGGACGAGACACGGACCGAGTGGCAGCTGAGGAGACGCTGCAGCTCTGAGCTCCTGCCGTTTGTTTGTTCCTGCGGTTCCACGCACGTTTTTCGACGAACTGTACCGAAAAGCCGCCGTGTTTGAGTCTATAAAGCTCCAAGTTGAAGTGCCTGCGTGTATCTCTTGCTGTGGATAGCACTATTGGAGCACAGGCTGTGGAAGACGGGGGATGGACCACGTTGAGACTCAGGATCCGTTTGGCTTTGTGGGTTCGCACGTTGTGCGGAAAGAGCCGCGCACGGGAAAGGAAGAACATGGGTGGCTCACGCGCTTCGACGACGCTCTGGACTGCTACACGCTGTTTGTGCCTGGTGGAGGAGAACCCATGTTGCTGTCCCGAGGAGAGGTGATGAAGTTCCTCTCGGCGCCTAATATCGAACTCCACGATGACGACCACGACACGTTTCCTCCTCCAGTAAAAGACACGACTACTAGTCGGTATGTGGGAGTACAGCTGTCTCGGCCTCGACAAGGATCTAGTGGCAATGACAAACGGACGGAGGGAGACGTTCGGGGTCGTGTGAAATGCTTCCTGCCGTTTGGCGATCGGTATAGTGTCGAGTATGAAGATGGATCGACCGACGAGATTTTGGAGACTGCGGTCATCGATGGCATGATTGCGTTGATCAAGTCGTCGCTCTTTTCGTCATCTAGCCGACCAAAATGTCGGAGCAGGTGTGTGAAACGAAGAAAGAGTGGCGCTTGTGCGACTGAAGGTGTGCATGAACCTGTTCGGCGGAAACGACAAAGAGCAACTACTACTCGTAATTCGGATGCTTCGGATATTTCGCCAGGATCTGTACATGTAGCAGTAAAGAGGCTCGACGACCCACACTATGATGTTGTATATGTCGATTTAACGGAAGCTGGTGTAGATAGAGAAACCGAGCCCGCGCCGAACATCTTAGACGTGATGACCAGCACAGCGAAAAGTACTACACGAGAAAATTCCCTCGAAATGGCAAGTCACCCTCCGGACGAACTTATGCACGTTGATGAAGACGAGGTAGCTGACAAGAATGATATTGTAAAGGTTCAGAAGCGCCAAGACGAAGCGGACGGCAGCAACCTTGTGGTCACTGCGCCACAGGCAGACACGGCGCGGCCTGAGACGCAAAAAGCATCACGGTTCTATGTCGTCGATGCTGAACCACATGTAGCTATCGAACCATTGCCGAATCGCGTCATGGCGTTTGAATTTCTCCGTGTTTTGCTGCTAAGACTACTGGATGGTCGCGAAGCGTGTGAAGTCAAGACGACCTTGCAATGTGAGTTGCTACGCAATCTGGATGTGCGACCTCACGATGCTGTGATCCGTTTTACAGAAGCTGACGGGTTACACGTACTTAATCACTTGCTGAACGCATTCGCGACGAAAGAAAGCCTTGATAGTGGCAAAAAGAAACTGGAGACTGGTGACTTACGAGAGAATATGCGAGAGCGAATGGAGCGTGACGGCGAACTTCTTGAGGTGTTAAAAGTCGTGGCCATGCTTCCAACGCCATCGCGCGGTCAGGTTATTGCATCGGACATTGGGAAGACTATTAACGTGCTAAGCAAGGCACGTGGACCCTCGGGAGACATGCGTGCTCTACCAACATGCATCACCGCTCTGGCAAAATGGATCAAGACTTCATGGATCAAAAACATCCCGGCTTCGAAAAATGTGCCCAAGGCTTCTGTCAACGCCCAACAATCAGCTAGTCGACCCCAACAACAAGCACGACGCGGTGGACGCGGAGGATATTCTGGGCGTCCAAGTTTCCAGTCGAACCGACAGCAAGCACCTCAAAAAGGATACAACGCTCCACGAGATAGCACGCCGCCGATGCCAAAGCACTCGCAATCAAAGCAGACCACACACCCACAGCTACCAAAAGCTGCTTCTGCTCCAACACAGCTACCAGTTTCACGCCGTGCACGCAGCAGTTTGAAACCGGACTGGATGAGACAAAAGGAGGAATTGTCCCGCTCCCGCTTTTGCATCGATGACAGCAAAAACGTGGATACAAGGTTGTATCGGGACGAACGAGCGCACCGTCCTAGAAACATGCCAGGCATGGCCCCGTCATCGCAAGTGATCTCGCAACAGACTACGAGTTCGGATCAGCACGAAGATGCCGGTGGTCCGGATGGAGTATTTGGACGACCTCAGAAACTGCGTTTCGGCAAACGGTGGAGCACTCAAGAATTTAGGCTTCAGGACCCGCCTGACGCGTTGAGGCAAGCCGCTGGATATTCGTACGCAAGGTCTCCTTATGGTCGTTCGCAGTATTCGGAACACTTTTCTGTGCGTGCGCGACCGGTGCCGTATTCGTCGCGTCGGCCACGACCCATACTGCGACCTGTCAGTCGCTATAAAGATGAGCCAGTCATCGACAGTGCGAGTAAATGATATCGTCGTTGGGGTGCGCGTATAATTGCGTCCGTCTTCAAGTAGCAGGTAGTAGTAGTAATATTGGAGTGGTGGGATAATGAATATCGAGTGGTTATTCGAGTGGCAAACGATCGAAAGTGCCTGCATGCCTTTGCTCGCATTCCCCGCACGGTCAAATCAATGACGTTCGTGCCAGCTTCATCGTCGGTCTGCTGTCGCCCAAGACCTGCGCAGGTATTGAATAAGATCCTGCAACACGCACAAACAGTTCATTAGTGCAAGCACCAGATCCTCAACCGAACGTAATAAATACATACCTGGACAAAGTCGTGTCGAAGGACTACTGGAATATTGAGGTATTGAACGTATTCTGACAGAGAGCTCTCGATTTTCTCCAGCTTCGTTATCCGTGATTTCCAAATCTCGTGAAGGTCGGTGCGTCGCTCGAAGTTGCGGTAGTAATCCACCAGAGTGATCGCTTGCTCAGCACACCTGCTTACACCTGCACCGTACTTTGTTCGCAGCGCAGCAAGATGGTCTCGCTCAACTCCACATTCGTCTTGCACCGGCTCTACCTTGGCCACCACAAGCTTAGACTCTATAGCAGATATCGGGTTTTGCTGAGAGTTTGTTGCGGCTGCACTTGGCCTAGCGGACTGGGACAACTTCGGTTTGTCCAACTGATCTGCCATATTCTGCAAGGATGTCTGGATGTCTTCGCACTCACCTTTGCTTCCGAAAAGCTGTAAACCAGCACAGACACTACGTTCAGCCACACCAGCATGCGAGCCAGGCTCGGACTTTACGCTTGAGCCTGCCACCTTAACATCCGCATGGCTGTGTACGAACACCTCAGCTGTGGAGCTGTCAGAAGACCTGTTCGGCACATCCTTATGTGGAAACGATGCTTTTTCTTTTTCATCTCGTAAGCTTAATCCAGCAGTGATCTTTGAAGCGACCTGTTCTACCACCTTCTCCACCAAGGAAGCCACAAAAACTCGAACTTCTTCAGTAATGCGATCACTCTCCCTGGTACTCGTTACTGTCAAGGGCGCCATATCATCTTTCCCTACAGCTGAGGGTTGGCTGCAGACATGCCTAGGTACAGTCATATCCATGATTTCATCGACGGATATATACTGCAGGCTTTCTGCCAATGTGCTGTCGACTTGTGGACCGTCGTCGTGACCGAGTGATTGCGCGGTACCCTCATGTGTATCTCCGTTCGCAAAATGAGGCCCTGATATCCGAAACGCATCATAAAGTGTCTGGACTGGAGTTTTTTTGGTCTGATTGGGAGACATGCCGGGCATTGGTCGGTCACTGCTGGGGGACGTAGACCGGTTACTATGTTTCGTTGTTTTCGTGGGTTTGCGGGTTCTTTTTCGACCGAAAATGATGCTGTCCGTCGATGCTGATGGACCGGGTACTACAGCAGATAAAGGAGGGGCCAACGACGATTGCGTGATGCATGTGTCCTTTGCTGTAGCAACTGCATGCTCAACCTTCCATCCATTTGCTGCTTCATCTGACTCGCTGACCGCCTGCTGCATCACTTCCTGGGAAGCTATCAAGTCATGAGGTGATACATCGACACCAACTTCGTTCAACGATTGCTTGTACTGATCCACGTCCAAACCAACGACTGCCTCGTCAATTCCCTTGGGATCCTGGGATTCACTCAGCATTCTGCACCCATTTACACTCCTAAAAGCGGCATCAGTATTTTCGAAAACGTTTGAGGGGGCGTCACTCACGCGTTCGTCTGCGCTGTGAACCTCTGACTGCAAATTGTTCAGAGAAACGGTGTCGCTGCCTGCGTTCTCGTTAGCGACATCTGACGATGATACAATTGCAGTCGTCTTTTCTTCGTTGCCGACAGTGTGTAGGGTCACTTTTTCTCGCTTCATGATCTCGTTATTGCTCTCATTGTCGCCATCCTCGAGTGCACTTGTTGATGTCCACGATTCGTCTTTACAAACTTGTAGCTTCATTTTATCATCGTCATCGTCACCGCCCTGGCCAGCTCGACCCTTCGTAGCCAAAACTGAGCGCAAAGAGGGTCTACTTCTTGCCCTAGCCTTCTTCAATGGCCTGTGTCCAGCAATGCTAGATCTTTGTTTGCGCTTCCCAAATGTGCCACGGCTTCTTCTTCGCGATGACCCAGGCATTGTACGTCGCGTAGTAATGGTGGACTTATTCTTCACGGGTAATTTGCTCTGAAAAGCTGCCAGCTCGAAACCAAAGTGCTGCACGACTGAATCATACAGGGGGAACAATCGTGTCCTAATGCGTTCTTCTTCTTGCAGCACACTTCGGAAGTGGCATCGCTCCGGAATAAATTCGTATGGCATATGGATCTCACGGCGTGCAGCACCACTCACTTTCTCTCCACGTGTGTGAAAGTAGCGAAAGAGACTTACAGGCGTACTTCGTCGAGTATCGTACGTCCCAACAATCAGACCTACAAATGGTTCTGAAGGCCTGCTGTTGGCATCTACTTCATTATTCTTGCACGGGCGCTGAAACAGTTGTTGATAGCTCGTTTGGTTCTCAATGTCCCGAACAGACGGATCAGGTGCAAATGCCGGATGCGAATGATACCAGCCTACAACCTCCAATTGTGCATTTTCAATAATGCTGCGAAGTTCAATCTCGCTGCCTGGATCCATCTCCACGTCAGTAGAGCCGTCATCGCCGTCAATGACAAGCGAGCGGCAAGGGAATGCAGCCTGGATGTACAGTGTTTTCAATGCTTCATCCCACTTGCCCCCTAAGAAGCCAATGATTTCGCACGTTGCAAGGTGCGCATGAAGGTCCGCCACAAACACTGCGTCTGGATGCACCATAACCCGGAATGGAGGATCGAGCATGGGACCACCACGACTGCGGCTACTCGGGTCATCTATGCATCCTTTTGGGCGATAAGCAGCACACTGCACCATCGTGTGGGGGTCCAAATCTCCTGCCACCATCTGATGACGAATGTGCGATTGCTGAGCAGACCGTGACTGGCGTTTGCCCGACAAGCGTTCATGTAAAACACCAGTGTCCTCCATCTGCTTGCGTTCAATGACAGCTATCTTTTTCTCAGCCAGACTGAGCTCATTGGAAAACACAGCGCTATCCCATAAGAAATCTTGCTTGTATGCCTGTGACGTCTGCACCTTAGATTCAGCACTTGGTTCGTTCGACAACCCTGTCGTCCATATGCTAGATAACGGTGTCAGCACCAAATTGTCTGGCTTCTCGTTATCTGCAACTTTGTCAAGCTGTTGGCCATCACTTCGACCAGTCAAGCGCTTCGGTACGTCGCCCATGTCCTTCCTCACCGACACTTCGGCACGGCTGTTTCCCGTGCTTTTTGATGCCAGATTGTCCGTCCCGGCAGCAATTCTTGCTTTCTTGACCTCCAGGAGTTTTCCTGACCCTCGGCCGCTTGCTCTATTATAGTTGACCACACGTTGCTTCCTCTCCAGACTATCGGTCAAATTGATCAGGGGCGGCGACCGCGATGCACGAGCAACATGTACTGCGCTAAGAACTTCCCTTCGCAACGGCTTTTGACCTCGTGATCTAGCCTCTACTGGTAGCACCCTATGTCGTGGCCTGGCCGTTGCCACACTCATCACATCACTGTCGCCTGCAACGTCCTTCGCCTCCATCACACTTCCTCTCGTAGCCACCGATTTTCGCTGCAATTTTTCTACTGCATTCTTCTCGCCAGCCTTCTTTTCCACGACACCAGCTGTCGCGTCTTCATTGTTCAGACCGTCGGTCATATTATCCAGCGTTTCGTCTTGTTTTTCCTCCTCACTATCCATCTCCGCATCGTCTCCAAAGAAGCCTCCCCTCTCCATTGGACTTGGCTCCGCCAGCATGGCGAGGTCGTCGTTCACGTGCGCGCCTTTTCCCTACAGCAACGACACCAATCGACATCAAGAAGCACAAAACAAAAACACACACATACACCATCACTCAGCTACTCGTCAGTCTCACACACATCTCCATTCACAAACCACATCTCCTCACCATGTGCAGCAACTGCGTCGCCTTGACGAGCGCGCGCTTGAACTCTGACTTCTTTCGGCTGCCCTTGCCGCCCATCACCGCGCGCTCGTACATGTTGTAGTGCGTCGTAAAGCTCGCAACGCACGTAGCGTCGATTTCCACGACCGAGAAGTTAAACTTGTCGAGAAACATAATGAGGCAGTGGCGCTTGAGACGGAACCGGCGCGTCGCTGGGTCCAGCGGTTGCTCCACCCTCTCGGGCGGAGGCACGACCAGCTCTTCCATGATCTTCGGGTCAATGCGAATGCCAGCGCGGCGCACGACGTCCCACGAGAAGAAGAGCACGCCGGGCCACCACGGAAAGCCGTGGACCTTGGCCCACACCACGTCAAAGTCCCGGAAGCGCTCCTCGACGAGCGCGAGCGACTCGGCTCGCGACTGCATCGCCTCTTGGGAAGCGGCACTTGGCCGGGTTGGCCTCCTTGCGCCCGGGGCCACCATGAACGAGGAGCACGAAGCAGATCGAGCGGTTCACTTGGCTGATGGAACTTTGACTCGGGCACTGTCTGTCTTGAGGTCTACTTGTCGGTCGGTCGGTCGGTCGGTCGGTCGGTCGGTCGGTGGGCATTGTGTGAACTGACGTCATTCGTCGATATTCGTCCGAGCAAAATCCGATACAGCGACGAATTCGACCCGTGCAGTAGTAGTCTGTCGGTGGTAAGTGTTTGTTGCCATGGAATGACGATTGGTATGGCCTACTACTGATGGTCAGTAAGTTTGCCCGGCAAGCGGTGTCTCTGGTAATAGAGTGGAAACATCTGCCGGGAACATCAAGCCTGAGGGACTTCGCGCAGCCCATCCCATCGAAGGCCTCGATCCAAGGGCGTTGGCCTATTTGCGTTGGCCTATTTGCGTTGGCCTTCGCATTCAGTAACCCGCGCAAGTCTCATTTGTTGTGTCAGAAGCTCGACTTATACCGCACAGCTGTAAACGATGGTCTGCTTTTGCATGGATATTGATAAGCCGTCTCATCTCGCTCACGGACTGGAGGCAGCCGCGGGGACCAGGACACAAGCAAGTGTGCTGAATCTTGACATCGGGACACGCCACAGCCATGCGATGAAGCGAAAGGGGAAACAGGGAGCAGCGACCTAGTGAAGTCGGAGGTTAACAGACACATGACGCACCCAACGTTCCTCATCAGCGTCCACCATCTACCTCTTCGATTCGTGCTTGCATGGCGTATATGAAGTGAGTGAGAAGGTGAGGTATATCTAGGTACGCGGGCGACCTACTATATCCTGTACCGGGCAACAAAGTTACCGCGACAACGACTACTTTATCGACCAAGTAGCACTAGTCCTCGGAAAACAGAGCGCCTACGCGCAGTCTCGTGTCTCGAGAGGATCAGGTTCTTTGGCGTCAGTGCAGGGCCCTGTAATTCGTGTTGTGCAGTTTGAGAGGACTCCAGCCAGTGATTGACATCGTTATTGAGAAAGGCTGAAGCCTGTGTGAAAACACCTTGTTCGGAGGACGCGTGCTCTTGATTCGAAGCCTCTGTCTCCATAGCGATGTTTGCTAGTCAATCCGCCATTGTGTTGCAAGTGCGGTGATGCTGCCATCATCTGCAGACGTCGATTGCACTAGCTAGGGCGCATTCTCCTCGAATCAAGCGCAGTAAGTGAGGCTTGCGCAGAGGATATCGAGTTCGAAGCTGCGAAAGCACTAGCGCAGTGTCTTTAATGACGTGGATAGGCGAGTAGCCGCTGGTCTTCGCTTGTCGAAGGCCGTGCACGAGCCCCCAGTATTCAGCTACATTGTTGGGGGTACTGGAAGAACCATAAGCCACGCTCAATACCCACATGACGCGAGCAGCGTGCGTCTGAATGTGACGTTGGGCAATGACGGATCCAGCTCCGCCCGGACCCGGATTCCCTCGGGATTCTCCGTCGAAAAACAGGAGGTTAAGACCTCCAGGGTCATGGTCGATAGGCAGCATGTGCAACGCAGGCGAAACATCGGAGCAGAGGAGAGTGTCAGTTAATGTTGACCGTACTTGCAAAAAGAGTTTGATGGCGAAAATGGAGGGACACACTCGAAATAGACAAACGGAAGCGTAGCTGATCCGATTTCGCTCATTGCGACAGACTACTTCCAAAACCTCCGTCGACAGCCGATGTCATTTTGACCGAATGATATTTCTTCAATGGTATCTGTGGCTACGAGCGACGGCGACCTACAAGAGCGTCTTTGGGATTAGTTCATCCGCGGATGATCCGCGGGTCCGATGAGGGCGCTCCCCATGTGCGAGTGGCCCATCTGCCACTGAATGCGGCGAACAGCGTGACCTGGCGATTACAACGACCCTGGACTGACTAGGAGCTTTCCATCCCCGACCGTTGCTCTCGCTGGTATTTGGACTGCGGTGAGGGTTTTTGTTCTCACACAGGGCTTCCAGCCGCAGACTTCTTCTCCGAAGCGGCCCGCCGATGGTGGCGTCACGCCATGGATACTTTATAGCTATGAGGCGCACGCTTCGAGCCAGCGTAGCGGAGGATCGGCGTAGTTGGCAACGGACGAAGCATGAACGGCTGATCCACCAGCGTTGGCAACAGACGAAGCATGAACGGCTGATCCACCAGCATAGTTACTTTCGAGAGCGACAACGCGGCGTTTTCGTTTGCGCGTGTATCTACCAAGTAGGGGCAATACAGTTCTCACGCTCAGTGGGAGAGCGAACTTTGGCCCCGATAGATCCAAAGAATTGGCGGATGATATGGCAGACGGGCGGGTGGACCTTGTTCAGCGACGATCGTCTTGAACGGCCAAGTATAAATGAAGTTTTTGCTCGCGCCCTGACGGCGACGCTCAGTAATATGACGAGATGATGCACCTATTGACACCAGCGATTCGTAGCAGCACTCGAGAAATCTAAACACGGGAGGCCGCTGAGCTAGACGAACTCGAGAACACATTCTACAAGGATTACTCGGACGCCCTTGCACCGTGTTTTAGCAAGTTTTTTTTCGAGATGGCTAGAATGTGGAGTTACGCCGGCTTCTTTTATCGGGGTCAGCATCCATCGTATCAAGAAAGCTGTCGCGTCTTCACGTCTCTTGGACCGCGGACCCATCGTCCTACTGAACTCAGACTACAAGGTTTTAACTACAATTCTCGCAACACGGCTCAGGCCACTTCATGCTACAATTGGCGACCATGCTCAAACCGGCTTCGTCCCTGGGCGCAATATTGCGATGGCTCTTGATAAAGTTAGAGCGGCGAAAAAAAATTTGCGGCGCGGACTTCAGACACCTTGCACCAATCCATCGTGCTTCTATTGGACTTCGCAAATGCATACAATACTTTGCAACGGCCTTTTCTCCTCGTAGTGCTTATCTAGCTTGAGTTTTCGTCGAAATATGCCCCGATGGTTGCCGCGCTCTACTAGAATACGTTACGTCTTTTCGTGGTCAACGGTTATCTCGAGGCTGATCCGAAGGACTCGTGGCTTCAGTCAAGGGTGTTCACTGGGTCCCCTATTATTTAGTATCATTCGCGACTGCACCTAGCAAGGTTTCCGTCTCCACGCCGATGCCCATACAGTCCCAAATCATTCATCTGACCGAGAAGACATCATCGATGTCTTTGATTACGCCAATCATACGAATGTATATCTTATCCGTCGTAGTGATATTCCCAAGGCCATTGAACCTTTTCTAGGCTTATAAGGGCGTAGCAGATACTGCCTGTAACACGTCCAAGTCTACTGTCGTCGTGATCGAACACAATACGACCATATCTGCTGACCAAATGCGCGGGCTAACTCTTCTGGGGCCAACATACCACTGTCGCTACCTCGAATCAAATTGCCCCATCTCATCATTGTACATTATACTAAGATCACTGCACTAGGGCGGTCTGGGACTTGATTTGCTTTGGCCAGGCAGAAAACTCACTGTGTCGAACAGAAACGCTTCTCGTTAGCGCCATTATTATGCCATAATTCACGTAAGTGGCTCGCCATTGCTGGCCAACATCGGTTGTACTCAAACGGATTCACCGCCTTGTAAAGGACATCGTATGTGGCATTAGCGCCGATCCTTATACATCGGACCAACTACAGGATATGCCGATACGAAAAATGTCGCCTCGCGGTACCTGGCGTCACCACCGAGCTATTTACCCTTGCAGCGAAGACAGTCGGCGGTTAATAGTCATTATCTGGGTCCCGTAGACGTCTTTTAGTGATATCCTATGGAATAGCGGCTGATTAGTCCTTCTTATGTCATTTCGATTCGGCCCTCTGATGCTCCTGTACTGATCCGTAAGTTGATTTGGGAAAGTGCTGCTGCTGTCGTCGGTATCGCGACGGCAGGACACGCCAAAAGCGGGTCAGCCTCCAGTATGCAATTGCGGGCTTAGCGTTTTCTCAGGACAGTCGAGCTCGACTTTACTGCCGATGGCAATGTTGACGTCGATTTTGCCTCCGCTCTGACCTCTAAGATGGTAACCACCTTACCTACGAATGCTGACAAAACGGTCGAGTCTTACCTTAGTGATTGTGGAATGCATCGCTCGTGAACCTTATTTGGCTTCTATTCAAACACGGGTCTACTTACCGACTTCACGGTGCTAATTTTGACACACAAAGACACCACGCTCGTTGATGCAATGACATGGATTTGGTTGGTCCTCGGACGAGCTCACCCCTCGGCCTGCTTCGGCCAAACCACCACACTTTGCTAGTGTCCGACATTTTCTGCGGTTCTGCTACGCTCCGATGTGTAACTTTCCCACTATACTCTCCCGCCAACATTATCCCCAAAATATCTTATCTCTTACGTGGGTAAGGCGCGGTGACACCGAGTCTGGAGTTATGTTTCGCCTGACGTAGACCTAATAGCATCTGGCGTGGATCAACATCTTTACGGGCAAGCCTGTTGGCACGATGAGAGACTGTGACAACGCTGCCTATGCGTCCACGGAGTACCAGTACAGTTCGGGGCGCATCTATAAGTGACACGGATGACTCAGATAGGAAAAGTCACGCGTCAGTCGTTCCTACAAGCTCGTATTCTAAAGGATATCACGAGCTGGCAGCGAAAATTGCTGATTGATTCTTCTTAAGCACCGCATCAATCGTCCGGGGAACGCTATCGTTGCCCGCCGTATTAAATGCTTTACTTGGCGCGGCACCCGCAAATATAGGTCCTCGTCCCCTATATCTACCAGGCGTTATACCGACTCAAGTGCAACCATGGCTCCCTTTATAGCCGCTTAAAGAACAATCTCTACTGCCCGAATCCGAGTTGCTCACCAACTAAGGATGCCCCATACCCATAATTTTGACCTTGTGCGCTCGCTCGGCAACATTGTCGAAGTGTTGATGCCGTTTATCGAAGGATCGATAGTCGCCCGGTCGACGTTTTATCGTGCACGACCTCTTCGCTGTAACTTTCCCAACTATCCGCGCGTCCCGTTGATATAGCGCAATCTTTACTCCAGCTGTCAGGGAGGGTATTTGAGGCTCGAGAGTTATTCCCTTAGGCCGCGACCGAATCACATTAATTTCTTGTATCGATAAAACATTCAAGGCATTTGGTTGTAGCGGCTACGACGAATGAGTGACTCAAATTTACCCGATGTGGTCCGCCTAGCATCCTTGTACGCCGATTTTAGCGTGTTGCTACTCGTTTCCGTAACTCCACTCACCAGCCTAGTGGAACATCAGATGATTTTAGGTTGGCTCGAGTGCAATCAGCGGTAAGGACTAATAAAAATCTATTTGATTGAAGTAGATCGGTCCGTGGGAGGTTGCCCATAAACCATTTCTCTTTTTTTGCTGGAGCGTCTCATGGCAAGCCCAGGTCTGGTGAAGACGATTCCTTCATGTTTCGTATTTACGCTCAGTCTTATTCAGCAAGTGTCGTGTGGATCGCTAGTATGGCACTTGACTCGCCTTTAACGACGGATAACGTTTCTGCGTACTATGTTTCGCTTTTCGGTTTACGCGAGGCGAACAAAAGTATCTCTATGCCGTTGCATTTCACCGGGAACAATCCATGATTGTTTCGTAGTTTCTTCTAAATCGGCCGCCTCGCAAACCGCGACAAGATTACTCGTATCGTTCTGCAAGGGCTCTAAAGCAGGCCTAAAATATGTTGATTTCCACAATCTAAATGAACCAAGCTAGTTTATGGAAAAATTCTTACTAGATTATGGATTCATGTAATGCGGTTTATGTTTGCGCCGTGCGCTGTGTCAACGTGTCGAGAACATCCCGCTGCTTCGTCTATAAGACGCCTTCCAGCGAGAGGTACGTTAAGCAGGTGCGATTAAGATTCATTTCCCACTACGCAAACAATCAAACCGAACGCCTTGCGAGATGTCTCATGCCTCGTCGAAAAATGTGCCCACGTCGTGCTTGTCGATGACGGTGCGCAACTTTTCGTCTTCGTCGTACGTCATGAGACGCAGCCTGTGGTCCGATTCGACATCGTCAATCCACTCCTCCGTCCACGTTTTCGCAAGCTGATCACGGTGCGGCGCCAGAACGTCTTTTACAAACATTCACGGCGACAGCATGACGAGCTGCGCAGATATAAGCGGCGGTGCATCTTGCGCGCGAGGCAGATAGTTGGCGTCGCGCGCTGCTCGCACGATCTGTAGGCCGAGCACCAGGTTCATCGCGTAGGTAGCGACCTCGCGTGCGACGTCAAGCTTCTCGTCGTCGCTCAGCGCCGCCAACAGCTGCGTTGGCCAGGAGCCTTGGTCCTCGATGTAAGCGACGATGTCCGCATCAGAGATACGCATGCCATCGTCAACAAATTAGCCGTCCATCGGCTTATGGGTCGTGTCGATGCTGAACAACGCGACAAGCTATCCAACAAAATTGACATTGTGCTCGTCCTGCTGCGCTATAAATAGCGCCTTGTCCTGCAGTACTACAATTATCTTGTTAACACTGCTAATGGCTGGAGACGCAGCGTAAGTCATGATCCACCAGAACGGCGACGGCGGGACGAACTTTCGATGATCAGCCGCATAATTAACCTGTCTTGGCCAGTATGTGATGAAAAATCTCAGCACGATGCCATAATGAACCCAGCGAGTAGTCTGCTTCGGGTACTCGACATTCATCTCGGTTATTGATCTGTTTTGAGCACGCAGGAAGACGCTGAATGCGTGCACTTTGGCGACACATTCGCCGTACAACACATTGGCGGACGTTTGCCTCATTTTAAAATCAATGTGATGAGGCGCGCACCAAATGCGTAGGACTTGATGCTAAGCTGCAGCGCACAATCGAGTGACCAAGCTGGCATGGTGTCCAGTCATTGCGTTCTCGCCTTCCGAAGCGACGTAAAACAATTTTCCACGCCACGATCCGTACAACGTGTCCATAAACTTGCAGACCGTATCAAGTATGATCTGCGATGTATGTCTGTCGAACATTGGGATGGCGACGAGGTGCAAGTTGACCAGGACGCCGCGGTAGCAAAATCGCAAACGCATGTCAAAAAACGACTGGCCGCGATGCGTGCTGCCATCACACGCGAGCGAAATTGCCCAGACGGACGCGTCACCCATGAAGTCCGCAATTCGCTGCAAGTTTGACGCGACAAGGGCGCGAATGAACTGGCCGACCATCAAACTGTTTATGCCAGCGATCTTTGGCGTTTGCGTACGTCGCTTAGCATGATCGAATCCCATGGCCGCGTGCAAGAATGACATGACGCTTCCCACGTGGTTCAATGCGAGATCGTAACGCATCACATTCTTGACAGTGATAACGTACTTCACAGTTTTTGAGTCCTTGACGAACAACTTCATCGCATTTGCCTTTTCGCTAAACTTCTTGTCGATTTTATCGGCTACTTCCTTCGCTGCGTCAGACTCCACGAAATCTTCTTCATCTTCGTCTTCGGCATTGTCTAGAATTTCGCGTTTCTGAAGAACATGTCGCTGATGATGGTCTCGACGATGGGCGGCGAAACTTTGAAATTTGATAGTGTCGCCTTCAACGTCGAGGAAATGATGCAACGTGTTCATGATCTTCGTCTTCCCAGTGAAGTATTTGCGCTTCTCCGTGTTACACGCTCGCTGTACTCTGCCCAGGCCTTGCCATGCTGCTTCGTATTGTGACTGCGATAGTTCTGCGGCGCGAACGATTTCGTGTAGTTGTTGATGTCAATGCGCGACTTACACTTGCGGCCAGTTGAGCTTCCAACCTTAATGTTGTCACGCCTGTCATAAATGCAGAACAGGCATCGCACAGTGTGCGCGCCGCCTTTTTCCGTCTTGATGATCTCGAGTCCGAACTCCAGCGCATGCTTCTCCTGGAAGGGCGTCGTCTTGGGCGCCATTGGAGTAATTTGGCTGCACAAAATCACTTATTGCGTAGTTTAACAGTTATTTTTAAAGATCTTAGTTTATGGACCATAAATGTCTTAGTTTATGGATTCCCGACCCTACTATAAGATTTCCACAAAATTATCAGGCCTGATCTAATAACTTTGATACAAATCCTCAGATTAGCTCATCACTCTCAAGATTTAAATTAGATGGCCGACCTTCCGCGCTACCGTCACGATGGATTCCACCTGCTCTCTCTAGTTTCGTACATTAACCGAACTTAGCATCGCACAGAGACTTCAACAATTAATCACCTTGGATGTCTATCAATGGCCTCAAGGATCTCCTCGAAATCGATTCAGCGTTCCAACCCACCGCTCGACAACTCTTCGTGACCGAGTACCGGTCATTTCACAATTGGTGCTAGACGATGAGCTTCTTATTCAGTACCACTATATGCACTTACTTAGATCCGCCGGATAGCTCGGTCTATACAGAACGGGTATTACTGGTAGCAATCGTTTCTTTGTGCACCCCACTTTCAACAACATTAGTATTACGAAGCTTCACGAACTCGCCATTTCGAGCAAACTGTACCGATTCTGGACGCCGATTATAACCGTGTGACTATCAGGATCGATGCAACGTTGCGGACTGTTTCTGTGTGTCAATGTTGTCGTATCCATCCTATCGCTGCTGGTGCGAAGCACTCGATCGAACACCTCATCTGTAAATCTTTTGACACGACGCATTGCATTATTCACACTCTGCATCCGCTGCTGTGTCGGATGCACCGACTGTGCTGTGGTTTAGTTCTTGGTGGTATCAATGAAAAGCTGATCTCCGTAAGGCAATCCTGCTCGATACAAGGCGCGTCAAGCGGTGTATGGATAACGCTATCGGCATTGATCCGTAGACCATACCTCCGGCTTAATGCGTTCATTTGGACTTTACAGGACGTGGTACTGAGGATTGGGATACTTGCGAACTTCACTGCTGACGAATCGTTCATTGAACATACCGATCGAAACCTCTCAGCCGCCAGATAGCAGACATTGTGTAATCTACTACCGACAATTGTTGAGGGCAGCCAGGTGAATTCATGCCAAATCGATCGATTTCTACGACTTCGGACATTCATGCTGCCGCCAAGACTGTGGCTTCGGCATGAAACGATGCAGGCTGCTTTAGAGATCTTACTCGCTCTTTTCAAGGCATACGACTCTTGCAACCGTTTTGTTGTTGTGCTGTGTCCACGTGGGCCGGGTTTCGCAGCATTTGTTACGATGGTCGGTATTACATACGAGCACGACATGTAGGCCTCAGACTCACGTATAAAATCGAGGCAGCATGATGTTCTCTGCGGGGTCGGGCAAGGGTGATCCATGGCATCCTTTTTCTCATTTTTTTCTCGATAGTCTGTATAGAGGTTATTCCGTGCTCTTAGTGTTGTTCGTGCTCACACTAATATTAAAGGCTACTTCTTCTTTCTAATGGTCGGATGGACCCACCACAGTGTCCGGAGATGCAGATAACACGTCGCTCATTATGAAATTTTGCCATAATGTTTCGTCCCTCCTCGACGTGTTGGAAACTTTCTCGTGTATCTGGTCTGTTTAATGATCGTGCAACGTCTATCACACCGGTGATAAGTTTATATCATCCGGGACGATTCTTTGGCTATCACAACTTCAAGCTGCTTGGACCGCGAGAGCTATGCGTTATATAGGGCTACATATAGGACAGGGCGATACGACGTAATCTAACTAGATTCTTTGATGTATATATATTCGGTCCCGACTTGCTTTGGCTTAAGCATAGACACATACCGCCAAATAAAGTTTCTGCATAGCCCCCGCGATCGCTTTACTCAATATCCTATAAGTCTCACAGCACGACTAGCCTTCTTTGCGTCATATTTATAAACTTCATTACCATATTGCAAATTTTGTGCGGACCAGCGCAATGATAGACGGTATCCGTCATGGGTTCAAGAAGATCGCGGAGCGCTACCAATTTGTGATGGCGACTTGTCGAAATAGTGTGTCCGCACAAAACTGATTGTACTAGCAGCCATGAAAGCCGGCAATTGGGCCGTGGGATCCTCTACAAAGGCCTTCTGGGTGGCGGCACTTAGTGGGGTAAAACTTCGACCGCCCTTTGTACAATAGTTCAATTTTTGGGTTCGAGCACCTAGGTAGCAAGTAGTTGTTTGTCTTTGGGCTACTGACGCCACATCAGTCGCGGTGTCGGCTGCCGAATATACCGGATACCACAATGCCATTAGTATAAAGAAGTGGGCGTAAAGGTTCGAGACTAACGGTACGGTCGCTCATGCTAATATTAGGAGTGTCACTGTCGACGCCAAGGAATTACGGAACGCAAAATTCATATTGGACTTCAGTGGAATTTCAAAAAATGACCGCATCGCTAATAATTGGCTCCATCACGCGTCATCACATTATTTGATCTCTCTACTTGACGATCGCACCGGTAGCTGTCAGCTTTACAGTGCCAGCTCGCCCAGAGAAAATCATCACTTAATGACCCTTTTGCGTAGGCGTGGATTACAAGTGGATAATGATTATTGTTGCACCCCACGATAGAACAGCCACTACATAAATGGGGTCACGACGACATCTGGAACGATTCTTCCTCGAGCTCGTTTTGAACATCCTATATATGTTTACCGGTCAACTGGGGCTATTATGCTCTGCGATATCTCATTTGCAGTTTCTCATACTCATGCGTGGACTTTGTATACTACCGGCATGTCCCTTTCGCACTGGGTTTAGGGTCAGCATTGCGGATCGACTTCGGTGCATCTATCGTTCATTGCGATCACACAGCGGCTTGACTGCGTATTTACAATCTTTTTCGCGGCATATTCTTCTATCACACGATTTGTGATCCCCTGGAAGGAACGCGCTTTATGTTACGTCGTGATAAGTTTTGGAAGACAATAGCGTGTCAGCAACATCTAGATGGTAGAATTTAGCGGGATCGAAGTCAGAAAAGTGTGGATGACCATATGATATCACGGGGTGCCTACATGGTCGGCAGAAGAAACCTACGACATCTTTAGGCTATATGTGTGCAGTCACACGGACTTTTTTTGTAGAAGCTAACCCCTTTTTACTCTCTAGAAATGAACTTCTGGAAACATCTCGTACCCAATTTTGTTTGCGCGTCCGAAAACCACGAGCCTGAAAGTCGTTTGTTTTGGGTTTTATCCTCGGCACAAAGTCACTGACAGCGCATTCTACTGATGTGAAGTCATTTTAGTGTAAATACTGGTGCTAGAATTTACGTTTGTATTGTCGCTTTTCAACACCAGAATTCCCATGACTAGCTTGATTTATGATGAATAAGGTCCTATCACCTATTGTTGCGACTCCAGAGGCACGGGAAAATCTACATGCGGATACAACAGGCCTGTGGCAATTTACAGCTGCGGCTGACCATACTATTCAAGCTAAACGACTTCGTCGGATGTGTGTCCCAGCCTTACAGCATGAGGTGCATAAGACTACCTCCCGAACTATGTTGCGGTGGTCCATTACGCACCTAGTTCTCGGATCTACGTATGGCCAAATTGTCATTTCAGGTTGCAGAGAACGGCCCGTGTGATGTCCGCTTTACTTGATGATCTGTATCAGACCCTATAGCCATCACCTTTGCAATCTATGCCGGCTGGTCGAGGTCTACCTTCATTGTTCTGTTTTTTTTTTGCTGATGATACCAACGGAAAATCAAGGTCTAGGCGGCTCCGACTTAGTGATTGTCAAAATATATGTGGCTACCCATGCGGCAAAGATTAATTGGGTCGCCAATGTGGTCTTTGTCTATCTACAAAACTGGGTCAATCGCGTCATTTAGAGGACTTGTTCATGGAATCCGACAAGCTCAGTTTTTGGCTTTCGCGCTCCTTTTTGTTGTATGTGACAAAAACCAGGTATCGAAGTAGCTTGGCGGCTGAAATGTATCAGTCCACCCCAAGTTACATTTATAAATAATATAGGAATATTTTAAATACTATGGATGTGGTAGACTGTTTTCACCACATCCGCGAGTATGACCTCACAACTTTTGACGCAGCTAATGGAGATACAAAAGAGGTTATCTGTCGATGACACCCACTCTATCTTGCATCATCTGGCTTGATCTATTTAGTCTATCCTGGACCGTGATGTGAATCACTATTGCGAATTGTCGCTTAACGCAGACCTCGAATATCTATTAGAAATTAGCCGAATTGGCTAGACAGCGTAATTACTCTGATAGTCATCATCTGTACTAATTGATCTTCCTACAGAACTTCGGGATCAAAAGCTTGCATACTCGGCAGCATATCCATTGTGTTGCCGTGAAACAAAACGTTTTAGTCGAAAACGTGCATTAATATATCTCAGCCCCTAAAGCAGTGTTTTTGAGTAACTACGCTTCAATAGCGTTTAATCACGAAGCCCAGACATCCTCTAGAATTTGACGCTAATATTTGTAATGGTTTCTGGTCCGATAAAATGATTTGAGCGTGCATTTGATACAAGCACAAAACCTTAGCAACATTGACAACAACCCACAACATCTATGTCATGCAAGAGTCAGCGCCTATTTGATCCTGTACGAAAACCATTTAAAAGCTGACTAGACAAAGATTTCGAACCGAGAATCCGGCAATAAACCAGCGGGAAAATCATTTGTCCGGAAAGTACAAATGAATTTGTGGTAGTAATCGCAATTGGTCCTGGTCACAGATGTGACTAATTCATGCTTTTCATCAAATCTGATAAAAGAATGGCATCAAAAATCGATCCAACGTTCAGGTACATCGAACATCTGCCAGATCTTATCACTTCTGCGCATAGTTTGTTATCGGCGTAATTTTGCAGGCCGCATTGCATGCAGGCGCGTGTATTTTTATTATGGTGGCGTAAGAAAATTTGTGCCAATTACTACCTCCCAGTACAGTACAGTGCAGACTGAAGTATATTAATATGACTTTATCGCG